CTCCTCACCCCACCACCAGCAGCAGGTTGTTTATTTGAAAACAATAATCCAGTCTAATCGATGATATATCAATCAAATTGTTCATTTTGTTTCAGCTCAATGACGTTGCTCTTCATGGCCTGCAACGTGACCAGCTGAACGTCGCTCCTCACCCCCCCACCAGCAGCAGGTTGTTTTATTTGAAAACAATAATCCAGTCTAATCGATGATATATCAATCAAATTGTTCATTTTGTTTCAGCTCAATGACGTTGCTCTTCATGGCCTGCAACGTGACCAGCTGAACGTCGCTCCTCACCCCCACCACCAGCAGCAGGTTGTTTATTTGAAAACAATAATCCAGTCTAATCGATGATATATCAATCAAATTGTTCATTTTGTTTCAGCTCAATGCCGTTGGTCTTCATGGCCTGCAACGTGGTACCAGCTGAACGTCGCTCCTCACCCCCACCACCAGCAGCAGGTTGTTTTATTTGAAAACAATAATCCAGTCTAATCGATGATATATCAATCAAATTGTTCATTTTGTTTCAGCTCAATGACGTTGGTCTTCCTGGCCTGCAACGTGGTCACCAGCTGAACGTCGCTCCTCACCCCCACCACCAGCAGCAGGTTGTTTTATTTGAAAACAATAATCCAGTCTAATCGATGATATATCAATCAAATTGTTCATTTTGTTTCAGCTCAATGACGTTGCTCTTCATGGCCTGCAACGTGACCAGCTGAACGTCGCTCCTCACCCCCACCACCAGCAGCAGGTTGTTTTATTTGAAAACAATAATCCAGTCTAATCGATGATTTATCAATCAAATTGTTCATTTGTTTCAGCTCAATGACGTTGCTCTTCATGGCCTGCAACGTGACCAGCTGAACGTCGCTCCTCACCCCCACCACCAGCAGCAGGTTGTTTTATTTGAAAACAATAATCCAGTCTAATCGATGATATATCAATCAAATTGTTCATTTTGTTTCAGCTCAATGACGTTGCTGTTCATGGCCTGAACGTGACCAGCTGAACGTCGCTCCTCACCCCACCACCAGCAGCAGGTTGTTTTATTTGAAAACAATAATCCAGTCTAATCGATGATATATCAATCAAATTGTTCATTTTGTTTCAGCTCAATGACGTTGGTCTTCATGGCCTGCAACGTGACCAGCTGAACGTCGCTCCTCACCCCCACCACCAGCAGCAGGTTGTTTATTTGAAAACAATAATCCAGTCTAATCGATGATTTATCAATCAAATTGTTCATTTTGTTTCAGCTCAATGACGTTGCTCTTCATGGCTGCAACGTGACCAGCTGAACGTCGCTCCTCACCCCCACCACAGCAGCAGGTTGTTTATTTGAAAACAATAATCCAGTCTAATCGATGATATATCAATCAAATTGTTCATTTTGTTTCAGCTCAATGACGTTGCTCTTCTGGCCTGCAACGTGACCAGCTGAACGTCGTCCTCACCCCACCACCAGCAGAGGTTGTTTATTTGAAAACAATAATCCAGTCAATCAATGATATATCAATCAAATTGTTCATTTTGTTTCAGCTCAATGACGTTGCCTTCAGGCTCGTGACCAGCTGAACGTCGCTCCTCCCCCACCACAGCAGCAGGTTGTTTATTTGAAAACAATAATCCAGTCCAATCAATGATATATCAATCAAATTGTTCATTTTGTTTCAGCTCAATGACGTTGGTCTTCGGCTGAACGTGACCAGCTGAACGTCGCTCCTCACCCCACCACCAGCAGCAGGTTGTTTATTTGAAAACAATAATCCAGTCCAATCGATGATATATCAATCAAATTGTTCATTTTGTTTCAGCTCAATGACGTTGCTCTTCATGGCCTGCAACGTGACCAGCTGAACGTCGCTCCTCACCCCCACCACCAGCAGCAGGTTGTTTTATTTGAAAACAATAATCCAGTCCAATCAATGATTTATCGATCAAATTGTTCATTTTGTTTCAGCTCAATGACGTTGCTCTTCGGCCTGCAACGTGGTCACCAGCTGAACGTCCCTCCCCCCATCCCCAGCAGCAGGTTGTTTTATTTGAAAACAATAATCGAGTCTAATCGATTATTTATTGATCAAATTGTTCATTTTGTTTCAGGTGAACCTGATGTTGTTCTTCTGGTCTGCATCGTGGTCAGCTGGTCGCTCCTCACCCCCCACCAGCAGCAGGTTGTTTATTTGAAAACAATAATCCAGTCCAATCGATGATTTATCGATCAAATTGTTCATTTTGTTTCAGCTCAATGCGTTGCTCTCTTGCCTCACGTGCAGCTGACGTCCCTCCTCCCCCAACCCTACCAGCAGGTTGTTTATTTGAAAAAAATAATCCAGTCCAATCGATGATATATCAATCAAATTGTTCATTTTATTGCTGACGGGGTAACCGATTCGCTAAAAAAATGTTTGTCTAATTGTTCTCAGCAAAATTACAGTCCGGACTGAAGATTATACTGCATATCTACTGTATATAAATCTAATTGATAAATACAAATTATAATATGATGACTGATGACTTTTATAAATTCAATATTGCAGCTCGGCCCCGTCCCCCCGGTTGCCGCCCCGCCGGTTGCCGGTCCGCGGCGAAGCCGCCGCATCGTAAGTGGGATGGGGAATGGAAATCATGGCCACGGGCAACAAATCGGCCCGATACTATGACCAGCGTTGTATTGGACCCTCAATGACATCTATCTTGATTTTTCTAGACGACGAAAATCTGGGATTAAATTTTCGGTTTCAATAGAAGAATTTGTCGCTTATTTCTGACCAGGACGATATCAAATTTTCAAAATTATCTGAATTCATTGCATTGATGTGATTAAAGGTCCGATACACGATATTTTTTTTAACGAAACGTTCGTGCAAACTTTCAACCCGCCGCCGGAAGTGACATTAACCATCTTCCTTCTTTCGTTTTTCAATTTTGACAAGATTTTGCCTAATTCTCTAAAAGTAGAAACAATAAGTCTAAATCTTGGCGACAATTCTCTAGAATTTAGCGTTTAAACTAATCAAAACGTAGCTAAAGCTTATTTGTCCTATTCGGCGACTAATTAAGGGATGAAAGCTTCCACGAACGCTTTGATTTTGCCCGCCAATTCCGGCAAAATGGCCGGAACAAAATTATTGCCATTTTGGAAAGCTTTTGATAAACAAAATTGGGGCGTGTTGGACACACAAGTCGTGCAGACTGACTTTCTCAATAACAACAACGTTTCAGTCGGCGATGCCTCGCCAATCTTACAAGTACTAGGCGACCCATCGCTCGATTTATCGTCAACAATGCCCACCACTCCGTCGCCCGCACCATTTAAAGCCATACTGTGTCTCATACGCTTAAATACTCGGATACGCATAAAGTATTAATGGAATGCTTTCGGTACACCCGCGTGGAATCCTTAAAAAACACACGGAAGAAACGCCAGCAAAACAGTCGAAACGAAGCCTCGATGGTTTTACCCTACATCTTCAGAAGAAACGCGTGGAAAGGAGACAGATTTCAGATACCATTTAGTAGCTACGTGCTCTCTACAAGTTGTGGTTTGAGAGCAGCGAGGTATCGTCATTGGAGGAATTGGCGTCGTCGTCTAACATGGCCGTGTCGCATTCCCTTTCAGCGAATCTTCAATTACTTTATTAAAATCCTTTCTCTCTAACGAAAAGCATTTATCGAAAAGTCTGTACTAAATAGAACCATGTAATAGCAAGCCTCTGTACTCGAAAAGCGCAGAAATTCTGAATTCCCAGTTTCCGAAATGCGCATTGACGAAGAGACAGTGAAAAACCTGCGAAATTCGGTTTTGAAACTCTAAACCTCTCAAAAAGCTGAGTTAAGCCTACGCCTGAGCTTATTTTGATGGAAACGAAGTGTACAATTAGCTTCGTTGTAAGCTGAGCGCCTAAAAACCTATTTTAGCTTTTTGGGGGCAACTGAAAGCCAAGCTAACATTGGCCAAGACTCTGGGTTTTGGCTAAGTATTGTTAAATCGAAGATAAGTTGAGGCTCTAGCTAAAAAACTAGGTGGAAAGTCTTATTTTAACAGTTCTTCTCTTATTTCTAGCTTTTCCGTTCTTTTTTAGCTTTTTTGGTTTCGTATGACAGCTGATTTCTATTTCCAGATTTCGTCGCGCGTCGCTAGTGGAGGGCAGCGGCGATGATGTCGAAAACAAGGGCATCGTCGTCTCCATCTTGATTCAGATAAGTTTTGATGTATTTGTGAATGGATTTTTATGGGGAAAGCCGAGTATTTTGCTTCTTTTTTTTCAGACGTCCAGCCCGCAGCGAAGCGTCGGCGTTCCTCTACAACAATATGGCCATTGCTAATTCGTCGAGCGGCTGCTTTTTCGGTATTTTTCTCATTAGTTTAACGATTATTTGGAGTTTTCCAGGTCAGGCAGTCGACACTGGCAGAAGAGATGGCGCCGTCAGCAAGAAGAAGCCAACACCGCTTTCCTGCAGATTTCTGATAAGTTTTTCTGTATCTGGGATGCGTTTCTTTGGGGAAAAGCCGTGTATTTTAGTTTTTTTTTTGAGGTAGAATGGTCGCCCGACGCCGACAATTCGTCCGCAAGGCTCCTTTCGTCAAAGCCGCTGCTTTTTCATGGTATTTATTGGAGTTTTTCTTTGAATTTGGACTGTTTTTCTAGGTTTCTCTCGCGTTTGAAGTGGAGGGCAGCGGCGATGATGGCGCAAAACGAGAACGACGCTTTCTTCAGCTGCTAGATAAGTTTTTGATGTATTGGGAATTGTTTTCGGGAGAAAAGCCAGTATTTTCTATTTTTCAGCGTTTCTACACTCTGGATAAGCGAGGGAAAATCGAAAACGCGACGGTGATGGTCAACTGCTGATGGTGACAGGATGACGAAGCTTCCGAGGCGATGGGCAATGAAAAGAAGGGACAACGACGCTTTCTTCAGCTGCTAGATAAGTTTTTTGATGTATTGGGAATGGTTATTGGGAGAAAAGCCGTCTATTTTGGGGTTTTTCAGATGACGGCTCCGTGGCGAATCTACACTACCGGCGACTTGCTGCGCAACATCTACTTTGTCTACGAGCAGAAACGTCTGGATATCGTTTTTGAGGCAGTGGTCGGTTTTTTACCGTTTTGAATACCTTGGAAATACGAAGCGTCGAAATGTCGATATTTCGAGCTCTCACCTTCAAATGCGCATTCCCACCCGGCTGCCAATTGTGCCGCCCGTCTCTGGGTCCAATTTGATAACTAAAACGACTAGAATGTTCAAAATGGCGTGAAGATTCCAACAAAAGCGCCAAAACTTTGAGCTGAACGCGTTTCGAGATGATCGGAATAGTTTCCGAATTATCCGAATAATTCGAATATAAGCAGAGTGCGGATTGTATTAGCCTTTTTATAGAAAAAGGGCCTTGACGGAATCGAGCCACGGCCAGTGGATGAGCTTTTTCAGCCTTCGTTTCCCGTCTACACGCCTTGGAAATAGAATAGACTGTTAAATGAGAAAATGGGCGGAAATAACTTTCCCATTTTTTGCATAGAGAAATTCGTAAAAAGAATTATCGTGTATATATTCTGTATGAAGGTTTTTTCAGAGAGAAGGAGCCTCGAAAGGCACACGGATGTCGACGACTCGACCCTCGGCGTTGAAAAGAAGCTGACGAGCGGGGATCCGCGAGAGAATGGCCCCGTCAAGGCAATCAAAAGAAGAGGAAGAGAAATTGATGAGGAGGTAACTAATAGTTTCCAACGTCTTTTTTAGATAACAATTCCGCGAACAACTCGAGACACACGATATGAGAGGGAAAGAAAGAGATTCTGGGATGGACGAGATGACGAAGACGTCGAGGGCAATCATCGAAATGTAGTTATAGGTCGGTTACTGTCATAAAAATCTTGGTATTTTCGAAATATTATAATGTGACAGACTTTCTAACCTCTTTAAAAGGAAGTTTGGCTGGTTTTGCAAAAGCTGAAAATGATAATAGTAATGAAGCCGAGAAGGCCCTAGATTGGCAAAGCACTATTTTTTTCGTGCTGGTCTCTTCATTTACCTCCTTTTCCAGACATCCAATTATCTACTCTCGAGACGGGCTGACGACTACAGATGAAGATGTTCCATCCGCCGGCCCTCTTCTACCCTTTGGAAGCCTGATGGCCACGACGAGTCGCAATAATTCTTACATTTTCCGGTTCTTTCGCATTATCGGGGGGACCAACTTTTTTCCAATAGTCTAGAAGTGCCTAGTAACATTTTAGCAGGTCTTTAGCGAAATTTAGGTATATTTTGTAATTGGAAAACTATAAAACCAAGCTTTAAATCTTTTAAAGTGACATTTTGATTGAAAATCAAAATGGCAATTTGCAACGTTTGTATGTTTTGCAATAGTAAAGAACCGTTTACCCCCTCAATTCGTATTTCAAAAAGTGCCTCCCCCGCTAATGCGAAAGAACCCCTTTTCCCTGCCAAAAATCTCATTTCAGGCAGAGAATTGCGGTGGCAAGCTGGTGAAGGTCGTGATGAGGGCAAGAAGAAGCTGTTCCGCCTTTCAGCATGTCTGACAGCAGTATTTTTGGCGGTTAGTCTCGAACGCTCTTCTTCCCCCGGTTCCGTTTTAGGTACGAGTTCTGATGTAATGGTACAAGCATCGTCCCCAATGGCCGCAAAAAGATGATATAATGCTAGCCATTGGCGGGGCAAGAAGACGATTTCGTGGCGTTCAGCCGGGAATCGATGATTTCAAGATCAGAAAACAAGCGGAATAGAAGATATACAGGTTATTTTGTTAAACTAACTTAGTTTAGGTTAAAATGATCTACGGCGATGAGGATTGTTTCACTGACGCTCATCGAGGCGAGAAAAGAACGAGAAGCTGGATCTTGCAGGTAAACTCCCCGGACGATGCCCGATCGACGGACACCCGGCTGTTTAGACTTATTTTAGTCTTTATTTTTTGATCCATGACAATCAGAAGGGCTGTAAATTGGGGGAAATTCGCTGAAATAACCCTTTGATTTTCCGCATACCGAAATTCCTAAATATGTATATTTTATCAAACTTTTCAGGCACTGTGCTGCTTCGAATCGGCCGGCATTAGCAAAGACACGGAATCGATGATGTAAAGAAAGAAAACAAGAAGATGAGAAATTGAGAATACGGTAATTATAATAAGGGAAGGTATTTTAGGAATCCAGGCAGCTGACATAGGGCAACGCAACAAATGGAGCAATGAAAAGCCATTGCTACGCCGTCAATTCTGCTTGATTTTAGGTTTGACAGGATTCTTCTTAATTTAATTCGACTTTTTCAGGTGGTACTCAGCGTCAAAAGGAGACGCGACTCGCGAAGGAAAGAAGATGCCGATGCCCCGATCAACACAATCCAAAGAACAAGCACTGTAAATGGATTGTAACGAGGTTATTTAGATATTATAACGTTTTTAGATTCCAATTTCGCATCACCATTCGAAAAGCACGATGGGAAACTTGTGAAGCTTGAACCGGTACTGGACTGTTAGCGGGGGGACAACTATTTTTTCCCAGTAATCCTCTAGGATGCTATAAAAAATACGCTCTAAATTTTTATGACATTTTATATAGTTTTTACGTATAAAAAGCTCATGAAAATTTGCTCATGAATTGGATTTTTGGCTAAAAATTTGAAAATGACCCAAAAAGGCCAGATGGTTTTCGAATTTTCAAACAGGTTTAAACTGTTTTCGAAGATTTATAGCGATCCAAGCTACTAAAAAGCCTGTCTTTTTTATTAACAGGGAGGCAACAAAAACTAGTTATTCGCATCGGAAAAATAACACCCCTGCTAACAGTTGAGTACCGCTGGAACCCGAGACTCGAACTCGAGAGAAATTTACAACGCGAAACAACGGCGAGATAAGCCGTGATAAGCCAGCTAAATTAGCATCTTTTGAACTTAAGGAATTTGCATGAATTATCGTCCCCCGTTTCCGGTAGCTATAAAAGGAATTCTTGAGCGGAATATACCTCATTTTCTTCTTTTCTTTCGTCTCGTCGTCTCTCTCCTCTCTCTCGTCTCCCGATGTGCCCATTTCCAACAAATGGTATGAGTTCTTTTCGTTCTCTTTCAAAATTCAGCTTCAGATTGTCGCGGACGAATGGACGGCGTCGAGATGATGGATGGCTGAGATGGCGGCAACCCCTTCTTTCAGCTGTTTTTTTTTGCGGTTAGATTTTTTCTTTCTACTTCGCCGCCCCTGTTTTTTAGATCTAAATTCGGTTGGTGGACGATCAATGGACACGCTGCCCGGAAACAACCCCGACCAGTACATGGCGCTGTGGTAGCAGCAGAGCGAGCCGGTCAAGGGACGCGTCTGGAACGAGGCGTGAGAACTCCTCGTGAGGCGGAAACGAGTACGAGCTGTACGAGCTGTCGGAGCACGTGCGCGGTTCCGACTACGGTTGGATCCCGCACCCGGAGGCCGCCAAGTTGGGCGACTAGGAGTGGCACATGGTGCACGTCAACCACTACAAGGTCGACATCTCGCTTCGTGTGATTTGCCCAAAATTCTCTGCTAGAATGCCCCAGTTTCTGACAGTTTCTCTGCAAAATCACCTTTGATTTCATAAAGATCCTCGGCTAGTTGTCCCATGATTTATCAAAGATCCTCTGCTAGATACCCCCTAAATTTCCATTTTTTTTCAGACAACGATGGGCTTCGAGACCCCGGAAGAAGGCTGCCTGGCCAATATCAAGATCCAGGAGGGCACCAAGGACGCCCCGATGGGAAACGTATGAATTTCATCGCCTCATCGATTATACCTGTGTTTTGTAGTTGCTGTGCATCATCGTGGAGAGCAAGGACGAGGTGGCCCGCTTTTGCCGACTACAAGCCAGCGGAGGGCGTCGCTGCTGCCACCCCGTCGACTTCCTCCAAGAAAGACAAGCAGCCGAAGCAGGCCGAGCCCGCAAAGCCGCAAGTTCAGGTATCATTTTTAGTGGATTAAGACGGCTATCGAAAACTTGATTCGTTTGTTTTGCTAAAGAATCTTTGCTGGCTTGCCCTGGCCGGAAGAAGAAACTAGAGCAAAGAGTCCCTGCTAGATGCCTAGACTCTCGAAAGGCCGTTGCTCTTGTCCGCAAGAATCTCTGCTAGCCAGCCTTGTGCCGGCAGTTATCTCTAAAGCCCTAGACGGTTCTTTCAGCAAAGAACCTCTGCTAGATTGCCAGGCCCGCGAAATCCCCATGATCGTTTCCTAAAGGATATTTGTTAGATTGCCAACCCTCTGATGATTCTCCTTTCCGCAAAGAATCTCTGCTAGCTTGCCTATTCGCTTGAATGGCGGCTTTTCAAGGACTTTTTTTTGCTAATTAGGCGCTTGTTATTTTTTTTGCTTTGAAAATCCGGATTTTCCTGAAATTTCTCTGCTAGCTCAAAGATTGATACCCCTAATTAAAGTGAAATTGAATGAAATTATTTTTAGAAAGTGACCCCGCAGCGAGCCGCGGCCTCTTTCGCTCCGTCTGGCGGCCGCTTCTCCGCCACCCCGTTCGCCCGCAAGATCGCCGACGACTGGACCTGAAGGTATCGATTCACGCTTTTCACCCCGTTTATCGTTTTTTTTGACAATCTATCGTTTTTTATAGCTGAGAATTGGAAACTGAAAACGCTTACGATACGAAACTAATTCGTCCTTTTTCAGAGCGTGTCGAGCTCGGGCCACGGCGGGCGCATCCTGGCCGCGGACCTCTCGTCGGCTTCTCCAGCTCCGGCTGACGGCACCCCACAACAACCAGCGTCGGCGATCGGCGGTTCCGGCAACTCCACCAAAAACACGCTCTCCAACATGCGCATGTGCGTTTTTTAGTGGATTGTAAAAATAGGATAGAAACTGCAAATTTAGCATTTATTGGCCCTAAATTTGTGGTCCTTCTTCGTCTTTGGCTTTTCTGAAGATTTTACTTATTTTGAGGCTGAGAAAAAAACATGCAAAAAGTTTTCATTTACAAAAAATGGGTCTGGTTGCCTATGCATCTTATTTTATAGGCGGCAAGCTACATACTTTAAATTCTAGAGATTTTGGCGGGTTTCGCTTTTGGAGTCGCTTTTTCTGAACTTTTTAATTTTAGAAATGAGCAAAAATCCAAAAAAGGGGTGAATCGCTAATTTACAAATTCCATTTTCCAGGACGATCGCGAAACGCCTGGCCGAGTCGAAGTCGACGATTCTGCACTACTACAGCAGCTCGGAGATCAACATTGACAACGTGCTACAGTAGGCTTTTCCTCGGCGTTTTTAGCTATCTCATTTCAGGGTTCGCGAGAAGCTGAACACGCTGCTGGCCAAGGGCGCCGTCGGCCGGCGAGCCCACCAAGCTCTCCATCAACGATTTTATCATCAAGGTATTTTTGGGACTGTTTTATAAAAATGCATTCTGTATTTTTAGGCCATCATCATCATCTCATCGTCGTCGTCGTCCATCTGACTGGAATAGAAGACGTTTCTTCCTGCAAGAATCAGAAGAAAGCAGCCAATGAGGTGATTTCTATCCAAAACATTCTTTTAGATAGATGAGAAATACGCGAGGCGACATTTTCAATCGATCCACTGACGACGCGAAGCTACCAAATGACGATGATTCCTCTCATAAATGCTTCTAAATTGGCGCTGAGCGGTTAGTCGTTATTTATATACTTCCCCGGCATTTTTTAGGTAAATTCCGATGTTATGAAGATGACCATCTGGAGTTGAGAAGAAGACGTCGACAAATTGTATGGCAATATGTCGAGGCAAACAGTTCGAATTGGAGTATGGTATACTTTTATGGTTTTGATCTTTCAAGGTACTGACAAGGCATGGAATCCAAGAATTCGCGTAGCTGCGAATCCTCTGGTCCATCGGTAAAGCTCTCGCTTGTCAGGAAGGCGACTCGGGTTCGACCCCGGCAGCGGCAGACTTTTTTTTGATTTTTGATCGGAAACGGGTAGGAGAGGCGGCTGATTGGTTTTATTTCCGGCATTTAACGTTTTTTGTAAGAGCGAAGAGTTGTACTTTGTAGTCTTCCGATTTGCGCATTTTGCAGGCAACTTTGTCGTTTGGACTCTGTGGCAAAATTGGCCAATTGGGTGGCTGTTTTGCGGCTGAGCTGATGGCTCGGGTTCGATCCCCCGACGCCGTCAAGTTTTTGCTTTTTGGTCGGAACTAAGATTGTGCTATTGTAGGTTGATTTTATTTTATTTGGCGTATTGCTAAGGCTCCAGCCCTCACCCACCCGACCCTGGTTCGATACCAGGCGCGGTCAATTTTTTGCTTTTTGGTTTTTGGGAAGGTCGTAGAGTATTTGAGCTGTTGTTGCGTTAACTGGGCAATTTGGCCTATTGGCAAGGCTCCAGCCCTCACCCACACGACCCGGGTTCGATCCCCGCCCCGGCCAACTTTTTGCTTTTTGGTTTTGCAGCTCGAAATACCGTATAGTGTCAAATTTGCTCCATTCCCACAACATTTTATCGGAAATGCGTCCCGGAGAGATCGGAGATTTCACAAAAAAAATCGAAGAAAGAAAGATCATTTCCAGATACGGTAAGAAAGGCATAAAATTAGAGGAAGATAAGTTAAAATGAGCAGTTTTCTTTTTAGCGATCGGAGATTGGAACTGAAATTGGTGGGGCAGTAGGTACGGGTAGGTACGGGTGGATACGGTAGTGCTGTACAGAGGAGCGTAACGGAATTAATTATGACGTAGCCCAAGCGATTGCTCGACTTCCGCCCTCTTTGTCTGCACTTTTTGATAGACATACCGATGCACGCCTTCGCTTGTCTAAAAAAATGTTTGTTTTTTTATATTTTAAAGTACGTAAATTACGTTGTTACAGTAATGATATTTTTTGGGAAACTCACCATAGGCTGCGCATAAAATTCGGCAAATCTCTCCTCGGCGGCCGGCGGGGCACGCTGGTCCGTAAACTTTGGAATATCTTGCGATTGAGAAGCGAGCCATTTTCTAAAAAAATTTAAATATAGACATTTTTTACTTTTGAAGCATTTAAAATGGAATTTTAGAAAGTTTTCGAGTTATTTGTACTTTTAAAATCCATTATTCATTTTTTGGGGGTTTTTCAGTATTTTAAATGGAATTTTAGAAAGTTTTCGAGCTATTACTATGGCCGATTTTTCAAATTTTTGGTTTTAACTTTCAAAATGTTTGCTTTTTAAAATTTATTATTGTATTTTTGGGGTTTTTCAACTATTTTAAATCAAATTTTAGAACGTTTTTTCAGCTATTTAAATGCAGACTTACCCGACAAAATTCTGCGGGTCCTCCGAAAAGCGCAAATAATTGTCGCGCTTCAGTTTCCATTCGTTGATCTGAAAAAGGATTTAAAATTGCTTGCAAATATTGAGAATTTAAGTAACTAAAAAAGTATTGTTAAAAATAATTAAAATATTTAATCAAAAATTACCTGATCGACTAGATCGTAAATCTTCTGGTCCAACTGCTGGATTTCGTGCTGATTCGACTGCATTTGCATAAAATTGGCCATGTGCTGCTTGAGGCTGTCCTCCACTTCGACGTCAATATCGTAGCATGCCGTATTCGCGCCACCGTCGTTTGGTTGGATGATATGATGCAAAACCTGTAACTTAAAATTTTTAAACAATTAAAAATTTTTGAAAATTTGAAAAATTTAAATTTTTTTATTTTTTAGCAAATTTAGTTTTTTTTAAACCCATTTTTTAGATAAACTGCCCACCAGCGGATCGTGTGGCTGCAAAAGCGGATGCAGCCGCTGCGGGATCTCCATAAAGCGCATCCGCTTACACCCGAAAACCTGCTCCAGGAATTGGTCGCAATTGATGTGGTCTCGCTCGACGGAATCCTGCAATTTTTGGGTGGTATTTTAAGAACTATTTACTATTAGTTAAAATGGCTAGATTTAAATTATTTAAATCATTTTAAATCGATTTAAATCGAATTTTAGAAAGTTTTAATTTTTTAAAAATTCGTCTAATTTTTACCTGTAGCTTGTGCGTTTTGATATATTGCCAAAGCGCCTCGATGACTTTTGGCCGGGTTTCCGAAGCGATTCCGAGTACCTAAAATATTTATTAATTAATTAAATGGCGAAAATAGCTTGATTTTTCTGCTTTTGAAATTCAGACCTTGGCCAGCCGGGTGTGGAGCTTAAATTTGATCGGCTGATGATCGAGCAACAACAGAATTGTACACTTTACAGGGCGATCGCCTGGTCGTTTTACCTAAAATTAAGAATTAGTTATAAGTTGGTTATTTTGTAGATTTTATATAACTTTTTAAATAGATTTTCCGGTACCTGGAAACCGTCGGTTTCGTTGGTCTGCGGGGTGCGATGCCATTCGACCAAATGGTTGTCGGGCCCGTAGAGATCTTTGTCCAGTTCGATTACCTAAAAAATAAAAATAAAATAGATGATTTAAATCTAGGAATTAAAAATGGAATTTTTCAACCAAAAACTTACCAAACTCTTGAAGAATGAGGAGAATTTGCGCTTGGCTGGAGGGCGAGACTGTTGTGGTTGATTGGCGGGCGGGTTCTAAAATTATTATATAAATGATTATCGCATATTTTTAAAGAATCTAAAATTAATTTAATACGGAAAACTGTAAAAATTGAATTCCGCCGAAATTTGGCCTGCGCCCGTGAGCACCGCATGGGTTGAAGAGGGCCTTACGTCCCGCCTATTCCCGTCTGAGCATGGTGCATTGGTAAGGCTATCGCTTCTCACGCCGCACTACCAGGGTTCGATTCCAGGGACCACCAAACTTTTTGCTTTTTGGCCAAGACTTATATTTTTTATTTTCCTATCGTTTTCTTATAATTTAAAATGATTAAAGCCACGCTCACCTTCTCCGGCGTCTGCCCGGGGGCCTCGTCCAACAACTTCCCCTCGACCCTCAGCTCCCACATTGGTGGAATGGCTTCATCCCCCTCCTTTTCCGGTTCTCTTCTCGGGATAAACGTGTGGCTAATGTAGATTCGTAGGCGACGTCGAATTTTCATAGGTCTCTTCAGCGCTTCTTGAATGTCCAGCTTTTTCCTGGCGATCGTTGTGTCGAGTTTGTGCTCAAACGACAACAAATCCATATAGGCCTGCGATTCGGGAACTAGTTGGCGAACCTGAAATCCGATTTTTGTATTGTATTTGATTTTTTTTGATTTTTGTATTTACTTTTAATTTTTTCGACCTACCGGCTCGGGGATGAGTTTGTCGGCGTATTTTCTCTTCTTCCTCGGTGGGATCGGAATGCGTTGCTGGAGATGTGGAGGAGGCATTTGTTGCATCGGCATCCCGCGGCGCATCTAGGAAGATAGAAAAATGGAAAATGTTGATTTTTGGGTTCTGTGGCGTTATCGGGGGGAGGCAGTATCTTTCAGATCCGCTTATCAAAACCATCCTAGCTGTTTTCAAGCATATAAAATAGTTAGAAACCCCTCCAAACGCGAACAAACGCAAAAGAAAACTGATTTTTTTAGTTCTGTGGCCTTATCGAGGGGGGAGGGGGGCACAAGATTATAGAGCAAATATAAACGGTTACTAGCAAAATTAAAGACGATTCAAAATTTTGAAAGAAAATTCAGCTAAAAATAAAAGTTGCAGCTAAATCATGAAAATCGGTCCTCGGCGATAATGATTTAGCACCTTGGTTTCTTAAAATTAGGGTTAAATAACTCTAAAATATAAAAAATCTATTTAAAAAGGCAAGAATAGCATCCCAAAAATTGGCCGGGGAAAGATTGGAGGGCTCCCAAGTATTGGCTACTAACAGATAAGAAGGGGGGTCGAGTCGTAAAGGGCAATTGATACAGAAAAGCATTACGACATGGAAATCGCAGCTTTATATGCCTTTTATACTTTTATATTAAGTTATGGTACCTGATTTGGATGTGGCATCGGTGGATATCTGCCTTGTGGAGGTGGTGGAGGCATATGATGATGTTGCGGCGTTCGATTCATTTTGTAAAATACCTACAATTATTTAATATCTATTATTTTCTAGATAACTGATAAAAATGAATTGTTAAGCCTGAAAATATCAATATTACTAAGGTAACCCGCTAGGTCACTCTTCGGCTACCTGGGCAACCAGCGCCATGGCTTTGCATTTGGATCCCCTTGGGGGGCTAGAAACCCACGGAATTGCGGTGTACATAGGACCACCGTGTAGTCGTGGGCTAGATTTAGGGGAAATGGCCAAACTTTAAGACAGATATCAAGAAAATAATGCCGAAAAGCGTCGGAATTTCATTTTAATTAAAAAAACGATTTGCCAAAAATCTCCGGGTCCCAAAACTCGATTTTGCCATATAATGATTTGTCTAAATCTTATGAAACCACGATTTTTATTGAAATTTCGAAACTGTAGGACAGCGGAAAAGACAGCATATAGAAAAACACTCACAGGATCAATTAAATTCTTAATTAATTAATTTTAATTCCCCCTCATCCTCCTAATTTAACCTAATTAAAGTTCAAAATTTGACGTAATAAATTAAATTCGGGTAACGCGAAATTAAACTGAGACTGGTCGAAAGAATAAATGCTGTATTCCTAAAAATGCGCTTTATTTGAGAAAATGGCAGATGTGCTATCACCGATCTCCGAAAAATGTCTATTAATGCATCACTGAATTGATAATTTCCATTTTCCGGGGTGCAGAATAGCAAAACCGTCGGCCAGTTTGTAATTTAAATCGATTTGGATGTAGTTTAATTAATATAAAGATTTTAAATCGCAAATATTCAGTTTTTTTTGTACAAATTGCAATTTTGTATTTTGTGCTGTATTCCCAATTTTTGTAATGCCTTTATCGACGCGTTCTGTACAGAAATCAGTCGACGGTTTAATAGCCGGGGGCGAGACGGGCCGGCGGGCAATGATCGCAGCTGCCGGGAGCTCCAAGTTCTCCGGGAGCACCAATATCTCCGGGGCTTCCGTTCTGGCCGGGCTGTCCAGGAGGTCCAGGTTGTCCGGGAGGTCCGAGAGGGCCGTCTAGAAAGGTGTAACAATTAAAGTGGCTGTAATAAAGGTGAATGCAAATAAATGGAGCTTGTGCATTATCGGGGGTGGTAAATTTTTTAGGATTTAGGATTTTTTAGGATCTTTCCATTATCAGGGGTCCAGTTTTAACAATAAAACTCTCAAAAAAAATAACCCACTCTTTCCATCAGTTCCAGGAGGTCCGGGAGGTCCAGGCTGCCCAGGAGCACCAGGTCTTCCAGGAGCCCCAGGTCTTCCATTGGGTCCAACCTCAGTTCGATAAGTTCCAGGCTCTCCAGGAGGTCCGGGCCTTCCGGGCAATCCAGGATTTCCAGGCATTCCCGGTCCTCCTCTCGATCCTTGATCACCAGGTTTTCCATCATCTCCAGGTGTTCCGGGAGGTCCAGGTGGTCCATCAGGTCCGGGTGGTCCTTTGGGACCTGGCTCTCCTTGGGGAGCTTCACATGGGCATTGATCAGGGAAGAGGGAATCAGCTGGAAATTGAAGGTAGTTAAGGGCCAATTTTTGCGGATACCTGAGGGTCCTGGGGGAGCAGGAGGTCCGGGAGGTCCAATGGGGCCTGGTTCTCCATCGAGGCCGGGGATACCATCACGACCTGGTTCTCCAGCTTGTCCGGGAGGGCCACGATGGCATGTGCAGCATCCGGTTGAACCGGCACGTTCTTCTCTAGAAATATTATGGTTTTATATGTCTTTAGCTCTTGCTCATGATCTCCCAGTCTTTCCTCTTTCTTTTTCTCTCTCACTCTCATTCTCTCTGACACTCACGGTTTCACTTTCATGCTCAATCTCTCCCTCGCACACACTCGCTCTCTCTCTCTCTCTCTCTCTCTCTCTCTCTCTCTCTCTCTCTCTCTCTCTCTCTCTCTCCTCTCTCTCTCCTCTCTCTCTCCCCCTCTCTCTCTCTCTCTCTCTCTCTCTCTCTCGCTCTCTCTCACTCTCTCTCCCCCCCTCTCTCTCTCTCTCGCTCGCTCGCACTCTCCCTCTCGGCCTCGCTCTCTTGCTTATTCTCTTCCTCACCTAACATTTTGTAGAGGTTCATCCCTCAGCTCGGCATCATGAAGCCGTCTATTCCAGAAATCGACCAGTGTATCGCGCTTCTCAATCCGACTAAAATTCTTGAATTTTTACCCCTAAAAAATTCGGCGCCTACCGATGAGCAAGAATCATATCAGCAATCTTCCCCGAATCCCTCTTGCCTCCGGTCTCAATATCCAGCATCTCCTTCCACATATCGCGAGCACGAGCCTGGCAGAACTCGAGATCGAGCGCCACATGGGACTCGAGTGTCTGGATATGATGGAGGATGAGGGGGAATGTGATTAAGCATGAGGAGACGGCCACTAGAAAGGGTGTTTTTTGATTATGGGATACTGTAGGGGGGGTCATACTCGTCGAAAAGACGACCGCGGCAAAGGCGATTGGGCGGAGTGACTGCTCATTGTCGGGCTTCTCGTCTCCCATTGGGTCTGGAAAAATTGGGTTTGAAGAGATTTGGGTTATTTTTGACAAAATTGAGAGGTTAAGAATGATATATCCCGCTAAAAGATCTTATCAATTTTAAGCAAAAGCAAAAGTGTTGGCGCCGAAAAGTTTCGAACCCTTGACCCTTAGATTAAAAGACACCCGCTCTGCCAATTGAGCCATGAGGTAGACGGGTTTGGCAGTTCGCAGCGCCTAATGAAGGGAGAGTGCCGCCAAGAGCCGCGCAGGCTCCAAATTTTCAAAATACCAATTTAAAATGTCAAACCGTATGAAACGTCCAAAACTACGGTAGCCGCCTCAGAGCAACAGTTGGCGCTCCCCTCGATGCCCTGCCTTCCGATGACTCCTTTATAAGTATGGTGAGAGGGGGAGGGCGGTGATGTTCCACTCGTCCGTCCATACCCTCAAGGGCTCTCATGCTCCCCCTACCTCATGCTCCCCCATCCAACCGGCTTCTCCGTCTCACCTCCGCCGGCCATCCTCTTTTTGGGGGTGGTATTGCTGTGTTGGGGGGCTGAATGCCCTCGCTAGGGTTCTTTCTGAAGGTGCCATTCCTTCTTCTTCTCGTGCTCTTGCTCGTGCTCGTCTTGTTCTCTTCAGACTGTCATTTTCGGGAGCGGAAGGGACGAGAAGAGTTACCTGAAATGGAAAGGAGCTACCTTTTCTACTTGACGAGAATCTCGAGAAAGAGAGAGAGAGAGAGAGAGAGAGAGAGAGAGAGAGAGAGAGAGAGCGAGCGAGAGTGGGAGAGAGAGGGAGAGCGGGAGAAAGAAAGAGGGACAGAGGACGATAGAGAGAGAGAGTGAGAGAGAACGAGAGCGAGAAAGTGAGAGAGAGAGAGCGAGAGAGCAAAAATCGATCATTTTAGCTGTATTTTCCACTGAATTCGTCCCAAAAATCCATAAAAATCTTTATTGATCTCCAAAACATCAATTAAGTAAATAATTGTTCGATTTAAAGAATCATATACATAATATTATTATATATCTGGCAGTAGAGCTGGATTTCAATTCTCTAATTCCCTGTATCCTTTTATTTCTTATTAGCGGTGATGATGAGAACTCCACGCGGCGTCAGATTGCTCTTAATTGTCGTCACATCAACGTCCTCAGGGAGTTTGTAGGCGCGCTAAAATTTTATATAGTTTTTAGATATTAAAATAGCTATTAAATATTAAGTATGTGATCTCGCTTAAAATAAAATTTAATTAAACGCTTTAAAATCCTAATTTTAAATAGATTTTTACCTGGATTTGACGGGCGACTGTGCCGTGCGAATCGGTGCGCAGCTGAAATTACTAGATTTTTCATCTCCTATTTTTTTAACCTCGTGGCGGCAGTTGATCAGCAACTCCTGTCCGGACGTCTTGATCTCGATCTCATTCGGGGTGAAGAACTGGCAGTCGAGTCCGACCTCGAACGTCTTGCCCGTGTTGTTCACCTACAGATTTGTGGGTGTTTTTGAGCCTAATAGCCTTGGAAGCGCTTTCAAAAAGTGGCAGATCTTCCTCTCCCTTTCTCTCCCTCCTCTCTCTCACTCCCTTACTCTCCCTCCTCTCTCTCTCTCTCTCTCTCTCTCTCTCTCTCTCTCTCTCTCTTTTCTCTCCCTCTCTCCCTGTATCTCACTCTCTTTCTCTCTCTCTCGCTATCTCTCTCTCGCTCTCTCTCTCTCTCTCTCTCTGGCTATCTCTCTCACTTTCTCTCTTTCTCACTCTCTCTCCCTCTCTCTCCCTCTCTCACTCTCCCTCTCTCTCTCTCTCTCCTCTCTCTCTCTCTCTCACCTTGACGACGCCGTCGTGATTCTGTAGCGGCCAATCCCAGGTGGTGGCAGCCCAATCGTGGGTCAGAGGAACTTGCGACATTTTTCTGAAAATATTTTATTTTTACATCCTTACTTCCGTAATGAACCTATAAAATAAAAGATAAAGCTGAATTACATTGAGCTCACATGCTCCTGAAAATTCAGCACGAAAAGAGTCCCAGATAAGTATTTTGGGGGAGACGGGGGAGGCAAATTTCCCCTAGAGGCCATTTGGCTAACCTCAATCCTACTAATAAATATAGGGGAAGTATGCTATTTCTCACCTATTTTCACTGTTTTGAAACGCCCCCTGATAATGCAAAAGTACCTAAATGGCTTCAGAAGCTAGGAAAAATGTGAGAAAATAGCCTTTGGGTAGTGTTAGTCGGATATTTGGGAAAAATTTTGACCCCCCTCGGTAATGCAAAAGCACCGAAGAAAGCTAGAACTAGGGGATTGTCAGAAAACAGGGGTTGGATACTGTATCTTACTTGAACTTGCCTTTACTACCAAAAAAAAATGACCATGGCTGGCATTTAACGTATCCCTATACCCCTCGATAATGCAAAAGTACCTAAACGGCAAAACGTTAGAAAGGAGCGTCTGGATACTGTTAGTCGTATAGTTAGGATAAATTTGCCCCCCCTCCGATAATGCACAAGGACCTAGGAAACGTCGAAGCAGCCAGCTAACAGTTTAGAATGTAATCCCGTAAATATTATCAAATAACAAATGGCAGGGATTTACGTACCCCCCGCTAATGCATAAGTACCTAAACGGCTTTAGAAGCTAGGAAAAAATATCAGAAAATAGCTGGTGGATACCCCTACACTACTACCCCGTCCCTTAAATACTATCAAATAGAAAACGCCAGACCGTTGCCGAAAATTCTCGGTGGACCCCACACTGCCAGGCCGAAGCAGTGAAAATGAGCGTCTGCTAGAGGAAATCACGTACAGAAGGGGGCGGAGGGTGGGCGGAGAAGAAGCAGAAGGGCCTTCCTTCCCCTCACCCCATCAACCGTCAACATTCACTCGGTCAGTCGCCCCCTTCTGCCGATCAACAAACCTCTCGAAGAAGTCCCCCCCCCCCCCCCCCCAAGCCTCTCACATCCCATGCCTAAAGCTTGCGAGCTCTCCGTACCCAGCCAACGAAAACAACAACCTCCCGATTGATCAGAGCTCGCTTCTGGAAAGTGCGGAAAATTTGGAAGGTTCTAGACCTAAATCGGTGCAAATGCGTTAACGGGGGTGGGGGTGAAATACTAGTAGAGAACACTCAGTATTACACAAAACCTCAACCCAATCGACCAGGCTCGCCTCTGGAAACTCTGGAAATCTGGAAAATTCACGCCCTAAATCAGCACAAATGCGTTAACGGTGGGGCCAGCCACCAAATATTGCTGTCAATAGGCCAGAGCTCGCTTCTGCAAAATCGGAGACAACTAAAAAAATTTAGATGATTCTAGGCGAAAAGCTATCACTAAAACGGTACAAATGCGTTAACAGGGGGAGGGGACATGGGCCCTCGCTCTATCGTATACGATTTTTCTTCTCAAAACCACGAAAAGTGGACACTTCAAAAAATCATAGCAATCACGCCAGGCCCTCTCAGGTATCGAGCCAAACTTTTTTCGACACAATTTTTCATGCTCTTTCAGCTGCAAATTGAGTTCCGTGTTGAAAATGCCCGATCAGCCACAACTAGCCCTGAAAAGGTACCAGGTAGCAAGGTGCTCATAGCCGACCTAGAGAATGTCGCAGCAACCACACCAGGCCCTCCTAGGTCTCGAACCAAACAATGTCGGCACTATTTTTTATGCTCTTTCGAATCGCGCAATTCGCTACGGTCGTATCTTGCGAAATTGTTGGGGAAATTCCGAAAAATTCTTTCTCTTTTTCTCTCTCTCTCTCTCTTTCTCTATCTCTCTCTCTCTCTCTCTCTCTCTCTCTCTCTCTCTCTCGCTCTCTCTTTCTCTCTCTCTCTTTTTCTCTGTCTCGCTCTTTCTCTCTCCCTCTCTCTCTTTCTCTTTCTCAATCTCGCTTTCTCTCTCTCTCTCTCTCTCTCTCTCTTTCTCTAATCTCGCTTTCTCTCTCTCTCTCTCTCTCTCTCTCTTTCTCTATCTCGCTTTCTCTTTCTCTTTCTCTCTCTCTCTCTCTCTCTCTCTCTCTCTCTCTCTTTCTCTATCTCGCTTTCTCTTTCTCTTTCTCTCTCTCCCTCTGCCATCGCTAAGCTTAAGCTAAGCCAATCCTAAGCCCAGAGATGTTAGAATACAACAATTTTACCCGCCTTAACTTTTTTTTATATAGTTTCCCTGGGTATCATTCCAAATACCATAGCCATTAATTCCCAACTGCGCGACGCGACACTACTCCGTACACCTGCATTCAGTGCCCCCACAGGCGGATTTGAATAATTTTGGTTAGATGGGTGGGGGCCCCCGATTTCTGTGAAACTCTTCGAGCTATATCCAGCAGTTCCAAAAGTATTTATACACCGTTCCCTTTTAACTCACAAGTACCTAGATTCTGATATCAAGTTTTTATGATGATAATTTTTAACTTGACAGCGCCGAATTTAGCTAAAATCATCATCTAAAATCGTCTCAAAAATAATTTTTAAGAATTCAAAAATTCCCGAAACCATTTACAATTATATAAATAACATTTTCAACGAATTTTCAGGCTCGCTTCCTCGAAGATATGACCTTCTTTCACTTCATCAACTGTCTGGCACTGGCATTTGGGCCCTATTTTTTAGTTTATAAGGTCTCTAAAAAATTTTAGTACAATTTTAACCGATTTTTAGTACTCTGGCCTGAATGAATATAGCAGCGTATGGAAATTGGGGCAGGCTGTACTCGGGTACTTTTTGACACAGCTCTTCAAATTGTTACTTCTCGCCACGTTATTCCCGACATCAGCCACCGAGGGATTCGCCTTGTTTCCGGTAAGGGTTTTCTTCCTAAACAATTTTTCACAAAAAAAATCACCCGGGATTGTGGTAAATGATTAAATGAAAATACCGTAGCGAAATTGTGCGTAAATAGAGACAAATCATGATAAAATCCAGCCAATTCCACCATTGATACACGTATTTCGAGAATCCCTCCTCCCATAATTGCTTGATCTCCGACCACAGCATTCCTAGAAGGGTAAAAAGTATTAAAAAGTAGGTAAAAAGTATTTAAAACCATCAAGAAAGATATTAAAGACATTTTTGAGCAAAAAGCAAAGAATAGCACAGGTGCGCCACGCGCATCGCCGAACCCACGATGGGTGGCAGGCTCTAGACTAATACACAGACGCACTACCGGCTGAGCTAACCGGTAGCACGGGGGAGGGAAAGGGGGAGAGGGATAAGAAGGGAAAGGGGCGCCGCCTCCGCCATAGGGTCCACCCCCTGGGTTTTCGTGTTTATTTACTAAAAAAATTAAAAATTGGTGATTAATTTTTTATATAAAATTATACTAGAAAAAAATATAGAAAATGACTGACTTGTCTTACATATTCTACAAAATTACAAAATATATCGCATTATTTTAAGCTGAAATTAAAAATATGACATTACTCTTTGGCACTCTATCGAAAGGCCTTTTCAAAATATGACAAAAAGTGACAAAAAAAATAGGGGAAATATCGAAAAATAATACAAAAACTCGATTTTCAGGAATTGCTGAAAAGCAGTGCGGATGTGTTTGATGTTATTGGGCTTCATTTGATCATCAACTATTTGATGACTGGCAAAAGCGAGGTGGGTCAAGCGTTTTAGGTACTTTTGCATTATCGGGGGCGGGGGCAAATTTAATTCGTTAGGGCCCAAATTTTCTAAAATAATTAGAAATTTCTAAACGTATAAACCTTGTTAATATCTATCTAAAGTTTAAAAATAGATTTTTTTCATCTAAAGTCCCCTACTGAAAATATAGTTCAATTTACTAAAAACACTAGTAGATATTTCAGTAAAATCCCCCTCCCCGATAATGCAAAAGCACCTTTTTTTCTGATCAGATTCGGTTCGCGACGGCTGGATTTGGGTACGCGTTGGCGAATTCCTTCTCGACTCGGATCATCTATTTTTGGGTTGGCGCAAGGTAAATTTGGTAAACCAAAATTTCTATTGATTTTACTATTTATATTTCATTTTAAATTGATTTATGTCTAAATTTAATTCCAGGGCGACGGCATTCAGCTGGCAATACATCCAATCGGCGCTGGACTCCAGCTCTGAATTGATCTTCTGGGGAGCCGTTGCCACGTTGGCTTGGCTTGTCAGGAGGTTTGTAGAATTTTTATTACTTTTTAATGTGGTGTTAATATTATTATTTCCCGGATTTTCAGAGAATACGCCAAACAGACGGTCATCTACGCCCTCTTGGCTGCCGCCGTCTTCAGCTCGTTCACTCTGCAGTCAGTTTTTCGAATTTTTGGGCTTGGTTGGCCAGATTAGGCTTAGCCTAGGCTTGGCTTGGGCTTAGCTTGGGCTTACAAGGGAACCTCACGGAGACATGGTGGAATTTCGAAAACGCTCGCCCCCGGGTAATCGGCCATCGATCACGATGCTTGTCAGATTTCTAAAGACCTATGGACGTAAGCACTTCGGAAATGATTTACTGCAAAATTGCTGAGGTGGTTATGAGGCCTCCATCACTATGGAATCCTGTGATGGCCGGTGGTGACTCACTTGGTAGATGCTGGGGGGTTCGAATCCGCTCATGATTTTTCTTTTGCTTTTGCCAGAGATTTTGTAGTCCAGAATTTATATTAATAGCCCGAAATCCATGTTTGCCATTAGGCAAAAATCGAAATGAAATCGTTCTCCGGTTCCTACACCTGACCATCTGCAAAATGAAAATTTCATAGATAATTTTCTGACCACGTAACGTCGATATGTCATAAAATTTATAAGTACTTTAGCACGTATGATTTTGGACTTGTACAAAAATCTCTGGCCAAAGCACAAAATCGTAAGCGGATTCGAACCCGTCAGCATCCTCAAGTGAGTCGCTTACCACTCGGCCATTCACTGGTGATTCCATAGTGATGGGAGAGCCTCATAAACCACCCTTCTATGCAAATTTTGCATGTAATCAGCATTTTCCGGAAGTGCTGTACTCTGTCCACAGGTCTACTGAAAAATCTGACAGCGCATCGTGATCGCAATGGCCGATTACCCGTGGGTAGCCGCGGGCGTTTTCCGAAATTCCCCATGTCTCCGTGAGGTTCCTAGCTTACCTAAAATAGACCCGGAAATGACCTAATTAAACTTTTTCGAAACGTAAATTCAATTAACTTTTCAAAATTTAGAAATTTTTCAATCTTTTCTGAATTTTAGTGTAAAGTATCGATTATTTTTAGTTATTAACGCTTATAGACAAATTTTATCAATTTTGTCCAAAGTTTTGTGAAAAATTCTTCATTAATGACCGGAATATCGATTACTTTTAGCCATTAATGCTTTTACAATGCCCTTTATCACCTTTTCAGCTCTCTCCAATACATCTGGAATATCAACGCGTGGGTGATGGTCATTCTTCGAGCCGTCTATTCGATTGGCCTGGCTGCCGGCACCGTCTATGCCTACGCTACAAATGGGTCAAATGCCACCCGTCGCTAGTCTCATTTCGGTTTCTCAAATTTTGTGCTTTTCCATCTACTTTTTTGTGTTTTTTCCTCACCTAATAACTTGTGTCTAAACCATAGGGTTCAATTTTACCAATGCCGCAATGTTAAGGACTAGTGTATTTACGGGGGTGGCCGATTTTCGAGCTTAATTTAATCAAATATTTGATTGAATACCAAAAACCCACTGAAACGGACCTAAAAACAACAAAAAACCCACCAAAAACCCCCGAAAATGACCATTTTACTCCCCCGAAAATACACCAGTACCGCAAGTTTTGTTACCCCTTTGTTGCGTTCCATGATAAATTATTCTATTCGATGTTTTCCCGTTTTACGACGCTATTTTGAAGCGTTTTGATATCGCAAATGTTTGCAAAATGTTGAGATTTTTAAAGCTTTGAAATTATCGTCAAATTTTGCAACATAATAGTTATAATTTTTAAAAGGGCAAAATTAATGGAAACGAGCGTAATTAAATTCTTTTTAATATTTCGGTATTTCTATTGTTTTAAAATGTATTTTGTAATGCTTTATACCTAATTAAATGCTTAGATAATGGACGCGAGTCAAGTGCCGGTGATGCCTCCATCAACACTCTCTCCAACAAAGGTATGATTATCACTCTAATTCTAATATAAAATAGTAAAATACATAAAAATATAAGAAAAATAATAAAAAAGATCAAAATCGTCCATTTTCAATCGAAAAAATCGATATTTTTGATATGTTTAACAAAAAATTGTAAATTTTTTAAGGTTACGGTTAGTAAAAAGCAATTTAGAAACGCTTCCACCATTTATATTTGACCCCCACCGATAATGCACAAGAACAGTTTTCGCTTTATATTTATTGTACTAACTCTATTTCATTTGCCGATTTTTAGAGAGCATTTCTACAAGCCAGCGAACGTCTACCGGAAGCGAGTCCAGATATGAAGCGCGCACGCGATCGACTTGGAACTCTGCTGGATTCGATCAAAAATGGGACCATGTTGCCTCTAGGCTACGATTCGAAGTAAGCAAGTGCTAATGTACTAACGGGGGGAGGGTTGGGAGCAGTCTAAAATTGATGCTCCACTTAACTTCATTTTTACAATTTTGGCTTAAGCCTAGGCTTGACTTAGCTTTAACTATGCAAAGCTTTTCTTCGGCTTAAGCTTAAGCCCAAGCCAAGCTTCTCAAGCTTTCCTCACGAGCTCAAAACGGGGTTTTTTGAGCATAGCTTACGCTAAGCTTAGACCTCGTTTGTGTGAAGCTAAGCCTGGACTTAAGCTTAACTTAGCTTAGGTTCCGGCTTAAGCCCAAGCTATGTTTTCCTGAAGCCTAAAATCGGCGTATATTATTTAGGGGATCATTTAGAGTTCAGCTTACTTAGAGCTAAGCTTAGCTTGACTCAGGCTTCGTAGGAACGAAGCTAAGCCTAGGCTTAGGCTTGGCTTAGCCTTTCCAGAGACTTAGGGTTTAAAAACGGCGGTTGCAACGACTTGTAGTCAAAATCCGGACCACCCCCCCTCCAAATGCATCAGTACCCGATAATTAAATACAATAATTCTAGGCCGGCGATTGATTCGAAGCAGGGCAAGATCAAGATACTTCCCAAATCCAAGAAAGAACGACGTAAGCTTTATTCGCCCAATTTTGCATTCTTTTTTTAGGCGTCGTTTTCGAGTTGCGTGGCAAGTCATTTGGGCTAAAAGAGAATGAGACCCAGGTATGTCAGATTTTATACAATTAATCCAAAATTAATAATTTATTTAATTTTATAATTTATAATTGCTATATAATTTTATGATTTATTCTATTGGACATTTTGTAGGATTCGGTATATGCGTTATGTCGAACGTGGCTGAAAGGGCGTGAAGAGAATGAAAACGGAAATGAAGATGTGCCTAGACCACCATCAAGAGCACAATCTCCAAAAGATGATCAATTGGTGAGTGATTTTGAATTGGATAACAGGTACTTGTGCAGTATCGGGGGGAGCCCGAATATTGACTAACAGACGCTCCAAATGCCGTTTTTATACTCTAAGCATCGGCAAAAATCTAACACAAACGAGGCTTAATCCCTAAGCTAAAAAGCCCAAAAAGACACCATTTTGACTTCCTAAGGCAATTTAAAGCGACATCTAAGCTTAGCTTGGACTTGCTTAAGCCGAAGCCTAAGCTAAGTCAAAGCCTACGCTTGCCCTAAAACAAAGGAGCTCAAGCGAAGCGCCTCGTAACCTTTTACCATAAATTTCGGACCGCCCCCCGTCAGCGCATTAGCACCGAATAACAGGTTCTTTTGCATTATCGGGGGGTCGAATTTTTTCTGAGTGCAGAACTATCTAGTAGCTTAATAGCAAATTATTTAATAATGTTTTTGGCAAAACAAAACTATATTTCAACAGAAAAAAAAACACTTTGAAAAATGCAGAAAGAATCGATCAAAATTTTGGACAAAAACAACCATTTTCCATCGGAAAATTGATTTTTTTTTGCATTTTGGTGTGAAATTCGTAAGGCTCTCACGTGTAGGAATATAAAAAAAGAGTTTAAAGTTTCACCCCCGATAATGAAAAAAGAACCTAATAAATTAGATTCGTTGTCAATTTGAAAGGATTTGAAGCATCTTTTCTATTTTCCAGGATCTCCTCGCCACGAAAGAAATCAATGCATTACCCGGGGCACGTCAAACGCGACAGCCGGTTTTGCCGCCAACAAAAGACACCAAAAGGGCCGAAGATATGGTAGTTATTTTTTTATTTAAAATCAAATTAGTCAATTAAAGATACTTTTTTTATTTATAAATTCCTATTTTACAGGTAGATGCTACTGATTCGAAAGCTGTTTTGAATGCATATGTTGGTCGATTGAAGCAAGTGAAACAGAGGTAACACTTTCAAATTATGCCCAAAAATCCCTTGTTTTTGTTAGATGGCGTGACTATGCGAAAGAACGAGACGCGCCGTACGAACGGAGCATCAAACTGATCAAGACCGTCCATCACATCGCTCAGCAAAATCAACATTATTGAGATTGGAAATGTTGAAATAATCATTTAACGGGTTTTACACAATTCTTCGTTTTTTTAATTCGTTTCTCTCGTTTCTTCTAAATGTCTCAATGTTTAAATAAAAATAACGTAATTAAATAGTGCATAAATAGAGACAGATCATGATAAAATCGAGCCAATTCCACCATTGATACATGTATTTGGAGAAGCCCTCCTCCCATAATTGCTTGATCTCCGACCACAGCATTCCTAGAAGGGTAAAAAGTATTAAAAAGTATGGAAAAAGTATTTAAAAGCATTAAGAATTATATTAAAGATCTTTTTGAGCAAAACGCAAAAGATTGTTGTAACTGTTCCTGTTGGGGAATTGAACCCACAAGAATACCCGATGCTCTAGACTAATACACAGACGCACTACCGGCTGAGCTAACCGGTAGCACGGGGAAGGGGAGGGGGGAGAGGGATAAGAAGGGAAAGGGGCGGAGCCTCCGCCAAAGGGTGCACCCCAACTGGATTTTCGTGTTTATTTACCAACAAAATTAAAAATTGGTGATTCAATTTTTATATAAAACCAGCGCTGACACCCCGCTACGCGGGGGTTCAGCGCTGGCCTTCACACGACCCACACAATTTGAATTTTTAATTTGAATGCAGAATTTGGCTGAACCCCCCTTTTTTTTTTCCCCCCCCCCCCCCCCCCGGCTCTTTTTCCCTTTTCCCCCCCCCCCCCCCCCCTATTTTTTTTTTTCCCGGTCGCACGGACGGACGGACATTAGAAATTTATATACCCCGCCCCCCCCCCGAGGCTTCCCCCCCTCCCTTTTTTCCTTTCCCCCCCTTCCTTTTTTTTTTCGCGGGGTACCCCCTACCCCCCCCCCTTATTAACTTTTCCCCCCCCCCTTTTTCCGTTTTTTTTTTTTTTTTGAATTTTTTTTTTTTTTTTTTTTTTTTTGTTGGCCCCCCCACTTTTTTCCCCTTTTTTTTCCTTTTTTTTCCTTTTTATTCTTTTTTTTTTTTTTTTTTCCCGGGGTTTTTTCCCCTTTTTTTTTTCGGCTTTGGTGGTCCCTTTCGCAAAAAAAAAAAAAATGAAAAAAAAAAATCTTTTTAAAACCCAAAATAAATTTTTTTTTTTTTTTTTAGCCCTTTTGCCCCCCCCTTGAACCCACCCCCCCTCCACCCCCACCAAATTTTAACCCCATACATATAATTTACTCTCAATATTAAATAAAAAAAAAAATAAAATTAAAAACAAAAATAAAAAATTTTTTTTTTTTATTTTTCCCTTTTTTTTTTTTTTTCTTTTTTCATTTACCCCCCCCCCTCCCATACATCCCCCCAAACCAACAATACCCCTCACCCCATACTAAAAAATTTTTAAAAAAATAAAAATAAAATATAAAAATTATCTATATTTTTTTTTAATTTTTCCCCCCCCCCAAAATAAAAAAAAAATATTTTTTTTTTTTTTTTACCTAAAATTCCCCCCCCCCCGGGGGGTTTAATCTTTCCTTTTTAAATGGGTTTTTTCCCCCCCCCCTCTGGTTTTTTTTTGCTGGTGCCCGACCAAAAAGAGATTGGGCGGCCGGTTTTTTTTTTTGGGACCCCCTGTATAGTAGATAAAATTATACTATAGAAAAATAAATAGAAATGTCTCTAATTCTTCTTCTCGCTTGTGTCTTCTAAGTTCTTCAATTAGCTTTATATATACGAGAGAAATAGTGTTTTACGCTTTATCGCATTTTCAGATCAATAAAAGTTTTTTTTTGTTAGAGAACGGTTAAATGCAGCAGCTATCGTTTTTAATTTGGTTCTTGAGTATTCCCGGGGGAGGGGGGAAGGATTCGCGGGGGGGAGACCAAGTTTTTTTTCCTGGCGGCCCTGGTGGGGATAGTAATCAAATATAAAGTGTTTTCACATTGTTTTTAGCAAAATTTAAGCCTATTTTAATCGGAAAAACTTTTTAACAAGTTAGAAAAACGCTTGAAAAAGTGGAAAATTTGGTCATTTTTGGTCGGAAAAATTAATTTTTCGACCTAAAATTAAATTTTTTCAATAAAATTTTGTAAAGTTTTGATGTTCAGGAATTTGAACACACCCCACATTTATCGGCGCCGAATCAGTTCCCCCCCTCCCGAGAATACTCAAGAACCTTTAATTTTCCTAATTTTTTAAATATAAATAGTGGAGACGTTTTAAAATTTTTTACTAGTCCTAAACGTGAAACCTTTACAAATTTGTATTAAAAACATGACAAAAGTATCGATTTTCCGACCGAAACTGGTCGCCTTTTTAACCAAAATGTCGACATTTTTCAGGATTTTCAAAAAAGTTACGGTGGTTAGCGACTGTTATTTTTCGAAAATTGTCGACTGCCTGAAATTTTTTTGGGATACGTTTCATTTTTATAGTTTGTAAATTATGGGGTTGTAACAGAAAGCTATTTTTTGATGCTAGTGTTTTTCCCACATGTCCTCCCACTATAAAAACTTTAATCACCCGTTTATCGAAGCTTTTTATCGTAGGTTTGTGCGCTCTCTACTCACTTTCACTTTTAATTCCAGGCGCGTCCGCGATGACGGAATCGCCAAAGGTCTAAAGGCGGGCACGTCTTCCGTCGCCTCCGCCGCCGCCGCCGCCTCAGCCCCGCCGCAGTCGCCGCCACCCACGCCGCCCCCCGCAGGCAGAGCATCAGGCATGGAGTGGTAAGCTATGAAAACTCTCCTTAACTTTTCACTTCAGGCGCCTCCGCGATGACGGAATCGCCAAAGGACTAAAGGCGTCCACGTCCGCCGCCCGCCCCCTCCGCCACCCCGCCACGCCGCCGCCACCACCGCTCACCTGCAGAGCATCAGGCATTGATGGTGCATGGAGCCTTCCTGTGGTAAGCTGTCGCAACTCTCCTTCAATTTTCATTTCAGGCGCGTTCGCGATGACAGAATTGCGAAAGTGTCCCGAACACTGTGGGATCTAAAGGCGTCCACGTCGACAGTGCTCAAATGATGAAACGATGATCGCTTATATTGCCATGTTGAATAAATTTTTCCCTTAAATTAACTTGCAAATGATAGTTGTACGTCGTTACGGAGCTGAGAATACTTTCGAAGAGCAATATTTTGGCGATGGCGATTGGTAGAAATGATCACTTTTTCCACGATCATGAGAGAGAGCGCGAGAAGGAAAGCCAGAGAGAAACAGAGAGAGCGAGAGAGAGATAGAGAGGGAGAGAGAGATAGCGAGAGAGAGAGAGAAAGAGAGTGAGATAGAGGAAGAGAGGGAGAGAAAGAGAGAGAGAGATGGCGAGAGAGAGAGAAAGAGAGTGAGATAGAGGAAGAGAGGGAGAGATAGAAAAAGAGCGCGAGGGAAAGCCAGAGAGAAACAGAGAGAGACAGAGAGAGTGGGAGACCCAGGAAGCAAATCCATAGATACCATGCCTTCTCGGTCTCTTTAAAAGATCAAAACCATAAAAGTATACCATACTCCAATTCGAACTGTTTGCCTCGACATATTGCCATACAATTTGTCGACGTCTTCTTCTCAACTCCAGATGGTCATCTTCATAACATCCGAATTTACCTAAAAAATGCCGGGGAAGTATATAAATAACGACTAACCGCTCAGCGCCAATTTAGAAGCATTTATGAGAGGAATCATCGTCATTTGGTAGCTTCGCGTCGTCAGTGGATCGATTGAAAATGTCGCCTCGCGTATTTCTCATCTATCTAAAAGAATGTTTTGGATAGAAATCACCTCATTGGCTGCTTTCTTCTGATTCTTGCAGGAAGAAACGTCTTCTATTCCAGTCAGATGGACGACGACGACGATGAGATGATGATGATGGCCTAAAAATACAGAATGCATTTTTATAAAAACAGTCCCAAAAAATACCTTGATGATAAAATCGTTGATGGAGAGCTTGGTGGGCTCGCCGGCCGACGGCGCCCTTGGCCAGCAGCTTGTTCAGCTTCTCGCGAACCCTGGAATGAGATAGCTAAAAACGCCGAGGAAAAGCCTACTGTAGCACGTTGTCAATGTTGATCTCCGAGCTGCTGTAGTAGTGCAGAATCGTCGACTTCGACTCGGCCAGGCGTTTCGCGATCGTCCTGGAAAATGGAATTTGTAAATTAGCGATTCACCCCTTTTTTGGATTTTTGCTCATTTCTAAAATTAAAAAGTTCAGAAAAAGCGACTCCAAAAGCGAAACCCGCCAAAATCTCTAGAATTTAAAGTATGTAGCTTGCCGCCTATAAAATAAGATGCATAGGCAACCAGACCCATTTTTTGTAAATGAAAACTTTTTGCATGTTTTTTTCTCAGCCTCAAAATAAGTAAAATCTTCAGAAAAGCCAAAGACGAAGAAGGACCACAAATTTAGGGCCAATAAATGCTAAATTTGCAGTTTCTATCCTATTTTTACAATCCACTAAAAAACGCACATGCGCATGTTGGAGAGCGTGTTTTTGGTGGAGTTGCCGGAACCGCCGATCGCCGACGCTGGTTGTTGTGGGGTGCCGTCAGCCGGAGCTGGAGAAGCCGACGAGAGGTCCGCGGCCAGGATGCGCCCGCCGTGGCCCGAGCTCGACACGCTCTGAAAAAGGACGAATTAGTTTCGTATCGTAAGCGTTTTCAGTTTCCAATTCTCAGCTATAAAAAACGATAGATTGTCAAAAAAAAACGATAAACGGGGTGAAAAGCGTGAATCGATACCTTCAGGTCCAGTCGTCGGCGATCTTGCGGGCGAACGGGGTGGCGGAGAAGCGGCCGCCAGACGGAGCGAAAGAGGCCGCGGCTCGCTGCGGGGTCACTTTCTAAAAATAATTTCATTCAATTTCACTTTAATTAGGGGTAGCATGCTTTGAGCTAGCAGAGAAATTTCAGGAAAATCCGGATTTTCAAAGCAAAAAAATAACAAGCGCCTAATTAGCAAAAAAAAGACCTTGAAAAGCCGCCATTCAAGCGAATAGGCAAGCTAGCAGAGATTCTTTGCGGAAAGGAGAATCATCAGAGGGTTGGCAATCTAGCAAATATCCTTTAGGAAACGATCATGGGGATTTCGCGGGCCTGGCAATCTAGCAGAGGTTCTTTGCTGAAAGAACCGTCTAGGGCTTTAGAGATAACTGCCGGCACAAGGCTGGCTAGCAGAGATTCTTGCGGACAAGAGCAACGGTCTTTCGAGAGTCTAGGCATCTAGCAGAGACTCTTTGCTTTAATTTCTTCTACCCGCCAGGGCAAGCCAGCAAAGATTCTTTAGCAAAACAAACGCATCAAGTTGTCGATAGTCGTCTTAATCGACTAAAAATGATACCTGAACTTGCGGCTTTGCGGGCTCGGCCTGCTTCGGCTGCTTGTCTTTCTTGGAGGGAAGTCGACGGGGCGGCAGCAGCGGCGCCCTCCGCTGGCTTGTAGTCGGCAAAGCGGCCACCTCGTCCTTGCTCTCCACGATGATGCACAGCAACTACAAAACAGGTATAATCGATGAGGCGATGAAAATCATACGTTTCCCATCGGGGCGTCCTTGGTGCCCTCCTGGATCATGATATTGGCCAGGCAGCCTTCTTCCGGGGTCTCGAAGCCCATCGTTGTCTGAAAAAAAATGGAAATTTAGGGGGTATCTAGCAGAGGATCTTTGATAAATCATGGGGCAACTAGCCGAGGATCTTTATGAAATCAGCGGTGATTTTGCAGAGAAACTGTCAGAAACTGGGGCATTCTAGCAGAGAATTTTGGGCAAATCACACGAAGCGAGATGTCGACCTTGTAGTGGTTGACGTGTACCATGTGCCACTCCTAGTCGCCCAACTTGGCGGCCTCCGGGTGCGGGATCCAACCGTAGTCGGAACCGCGCACGTGCTCCGACAGCTCGTACAGCTCGTACTCGTTTCCGCCTCACGAGGAGTTCTCACGCCTCGTTCCAGACGCGTCCCTTGACCGGCTCGCTCTGCTGCTACCACAGCGCCATGTACTGGTCGGGGTTGTTACCGGGCAGCGTGTCCAGCGTTTCCGTTAATCGTCACATCACCACCAACCGAATTTAGATCTAAAAAAAAGGGGCGGCGAAGTAGAAAGAAAAAATCTAACCGCAAAAAAAAACAGCTGAAAGAAGGGGTTGCCGCCATCTCAGCCATCCATCATCTCGACGCCGTCCATTCGTCCGCGACAACCTGAAGCTCAATTTGAAAGAAAACGAAAAGAAGTGGTACCATTCGAGCCGACGAGCCGACGAGACGAGAGAAGAGGCAGAAAATGAGGTATATTCAGCACAAGAATTCCTTTTATAGCTACCGGAAACGGGGGACGATAATTCATGCAAATTCCTGAATTTCAAAAGATGCTAATTTAGCTGGCTTCCCATGGCTTATCTCGCCGTTGTTTCGCGTTGTAAATTTCTCTCGAGTTCGAGTCTCGGGTTCCAGCGGTACTGGACTGTTAGCAGGGGGGGGTCATTTTTCCGATGCGAATAACTAGTTTTTGTTGCCTCCCTGTTAATAAAAAAGGACAGGTATTTCCCAGTTGTTTTTAGTAGCTTGGATCGCTATAAATCTTCGAAAACAGTTTAAACCTGTTTGAAAATTCGAGAACCATCTGGCCTTTTTGGGTCATTTTCAAATTTTTAGCAAAAAAATCCAAATGCTTTATAAGTTTTCATGAGCTTTTTATATCTAAAAACTATATCAAATGTCATAAAAATTTAGAGCGTATTTTTTTATAGCATCCTAGAGGATTACTGAGAAAAAATAGTTGTCCCCCCGCTAACAGTCCAGTACCGGTTCAAGCTTTACAAGTTTCCCATCGTGCTTTTCGAATGGTGATGCGAAATTGGAATCTAAAAACGTTATAATATCTAAATAACCTCGTTACAATCCATTTACAGTGCTTGTTCTTTGGATTGTGTTGATCGGGGCATCAGCATCTTCTTTCCTTCGCGACTCGCATCTCCTTTTGAAGCTGAGTACCACCTGAAAAAGTCGAATTAAATTAAGAAGAATCCTGTCAAACCTAAAATCAAGCAGAAACGACGGCGTAGCAGTGGCTTTTGATTGCTCGTTTTGTTGCGCAGCCTTATCGCAGCTGCCTGGATTCCTAAAATACCTTCCCTTATCATAATTACCTTATTCTCAATTTCTCATCTTCTTGTTTTCTTTCTTTCCATCTTCGATTGCGTGCATTTGCCGCCGGTCTATTTGAAGCTGCAGAGTGCCTGAAAAAGTTTGATAAAATATACACTTTTACGAATTTCGATATGCGCAAATCAGGATGAAAATCAGAAGAGTTATTTCAACAAATTTTCCGAATTTACAGCCCTCCCGGTTGTAATGTATGAAAAATAAAGTCCAAAACAGGTCTAAACAGCCAGCTGTCCGTCGATCGGGCATTGTCAGGGTCAGCTTACCTGCAAGTTCTCGCTTCTCGTTCATTTTTCTCGCGAAAATCGTCAGTGAAACCCCCGTCTACTTATCCGTCTTATTGTCTGTCTCGATTTGTTGGCGACGTTTTAACCTAAACTAAGTTAGTTTAAGAAATTACCTGTATATCTTCTATTCCGCTTGTTTCCTGATCTTGAAATCATCGATTCCCGGCTGAACGCCACGAAATCGACTTCTTGCCCCGCCAATGGTTAGCATTATCTTCTTCATGACACGATTGAGGACGATCGTAGCGCCATCTGATCCGAATTCGTATCTAAAGGGAACCGGGGGAAGTGGATCGTTCGAGACTAACCGCAAAATGACTGCTGCCAGGAATGATGGAAGGAGGAAAAGCTTCTTTGTGTCCTCATCACAACCTCCGTCAAGTCGCCTCAGCAATTTTCTGCCTGAAAAATCGATTTTTGCAAGAAAAATGTGAAATCTTGCGTTTGGTTTTCATCAGCGAGCGGCGGCAAGACATCAGCCAATTCGGTGAATGTTGTAGAACGTCCATTCCAGAAGTTCTTCACACGATGTCCATCCCGAAGCGTATCTAAAATGCCGGGGAAGTAGATAAATTATGACTAACCGCTAACACACACGTAGAGCCATTGGTGGAGGGGGGGGCCGCGCTTGTAGTCGATTCCGCTGAACCGCTGTTTCCTGTAAATGAAACTATGGTGCAAGGAAATAGAATCGAAGCTGCAAAACACAAAACAACGTTGGAAGCCAATAATAGTCGATTCACTATGCCGTCGGCATCCCTTTAAAATTTATTTCTAAAGCTTTGTTTTATTGTTCAAAACGGTAAAAAACCGACCACTGCCTCAAAAGCGATATCCAGACGCTTCTGCTCGTAGACAAAGTAGACGTTGCGCAGCAAGTCGCCGGTAGTGAAGCTTCGCCACGGAGCCGTCATCTGAAAAACCCCAAAATAGACGGCTTTTCTCCCAATAACCATTCCCAATACATCAAAAAACTTATCTAGCAGCTGAAGAAAGGGTCGTTGTCTCTTCTTTTCATTGCCCATCGCCTTGGAAGCTTCGTCATCCGGTCACCATCAGCAGTTGACCATCGCCGTCGCGTTTTCGATTTTCCCTCGCTTATCCAGAGTGTAGAAACGCTGAAAAATAGAAAATACTGGCTTTTCTCCCGAAAAAAATTCCCAATACATCAAAAACTTATCTAGCAGCTGAAGAACGCGTCGTTCTCGTTTTGCGCCATCATCGCCGCTGCCCCTCCACTTCAATCGCCAGAGAAACTTTGAAAAACAGTCCAAATTCAAAGAAAAACTTCAATAAATACCGTGAAAAAGCAGCGGCTTCGACGAGAGGAGCCTTGCGGACGAATAGTCGGCGTCGGGCGACCATTCTACCTGAAAAAAAAACTAAAATATACGGCTTTTCCCCAAAGAAACGCATCCCAGATACAGAAAAACTTATCAGAAATCGGCAGGAAAGTGGTGTTGCTTCTTCTCGTTGACGGCGCCATCTCTTCTGCCAGTGTCGACTGCCTGACCTGGAAAACTCCAAATAATCGTTAAACTAATGAGAAAAATACCGAAAAATCAGCCGCTCGACGAATTAGCCATGGCCATTATGTTGTAGAGGACTGCCGACGCTTCGCTGCGGGCTGGACGCCTGAAAAAAAGAAGCAAAATACTCGGCTTTCCCCATACAAATCCATTCACAAATACATAAAAACTTATCTGAATGAAGATTGAGACGACGATGCCCTTGTTTTCCACATCATCGCCGCTGTCCTCCACTAGCGACGCGCGACGAAATCTGGAAATAGAAATCAGCTGTCATACGAAATAGAAATCAGCTGTCATACGAAACCAAAAAAGCTAAAAAAGAACGGAAAAGCTAGAAATAAGAGAAGAACTGTTAAAATAAGACTTTTTAGTTTTTAAATTTTTTGTTAAATTACTACTTACTTTTAAAGTTTGTTAAATTAGTTTACTAGTGAACTATTTGACCGCTGCTTTCATTTCGAGGCCAGTTCAAGCTTGTTTCGTGATTTTCAACCAAATTCCTGGGTGTGGCGCCGCCATTTTTGCATTTTTCATTTATTTAATGCTGCTGGTCATTTGCCCCTTTTTGGCGAAGCGCGAATGACTGAAGACGAGAAACGACTGAGAAACGACGGAGAAACGGAAGTGTTGCTTGTTCTAAAACAGGCCTAGATTAGTTTTGTTGCCTTTTATACTAGTTTAATAGCCGAGAAAATTAGCACTTCTCGCTCATTTCATCATTTTATCGTTTCTCTTTGTAAGCCTAAAGCGGCGTAAGGTAAACGGAGCTCCGCGTAACTTTTTTTTCTTATTTAACTTATTTAAGTCCCGCCCCTCCCCTCCATTAGCACCACGTTTTCCATTCGCGATTTTCGAATCTAAAACCTGTTTTCGATCGAAAATGACCTCTAGAATTGTCATGTATTCTCTTCTGCTGGGATCGGCGGCGGGTTTGAAAAGAGGTTCGCCCATCTACCAGCCTATTTCTTGGTTTTCTGATTCCTTTTTCGTTGTTTTCGTTTTTAAAACGCTTTTTTAGTGCTCAAACCACGCACATGCAACGAGATTCCTTTCAGTCTTTGACATGAGGTAAATTACAATGATTTACTGCGATAATATTCCTTTTGTTTAGATCCAGAAGCGGATCTGGTGTCCGATTAGATCGTCTACTCTTCCTCGTCGAACAAACCATCCTCCAGGAATCAAGATGCGGCCACTGGATTGTTTGAAAATAACTGTCTAGACTTTCCAGGTCCCTAATTACAAGTTTTCTTACGTTTACTCCCAATTTTTAGGCCAAGCCTGGGTCCGTGACAATGTCTACGCGGCCCACGCCCTCTGGGCCCTCTACCGCGCATACCAAAAGAGCGCCGAATTCGATGAGGATTTGGTGAAAGCCAGTGAGCTTGGAATGACTTGGTAGGCTTCATTTCTTAGCTTGATCTCTTTCATCTTAGCACAAAAATGATGCAGTCACTTCTGGAATGCATGATTCGACAGGCCGATAAGGTAGAGCAGTTCAAACAATACCAATGCTCTCCGGACGCCATTCATGCCAAGTTTTCGGTAATAACTCTCTAAAAACAATGATTTGATAACAATGACAAAAGATTCATTTTCAAAGTTCTAGAAATAAGAAATTCGAAATTTTAGCTATGATGATTGAATTATTGAAAAATAACGCTTTAGGCGAAGTTTCGCCAGTTTTAAGGAATAATATTCGATAACAATTAGACAAAAAGTAGTAGTGTAGAGGAGTATGCTGATTGTAAGAAATAATATGAGAAAATTTGAATGTATTTCGCGTGGAGCACACTATGAATTCCGGAAGTCTCCCTTAAATTGCATAATTTTGGATTTCCGGTGACCTGGTGGGGCGAACCGCCGCGCCCGTCCCGTCATTCCTTCATTTCTCTCGGCTAGGCGGCCATCGCGATGGTAACAATTTGTTTCCTTTAATTTTTCCTAAGTTTTCATATGCTAATTTAATTAATCCAAATTGAAAATATTTCAAATTCAAATGGGCAAAAATTAAAATGTAATAAATTATAGGGGTATTATTTTGGGGTTTTGAATATCGAAGCTACAAATATACGAGTTACCTGGTTGGGTCGAGCCTGATCGGCGGTTCCACGATATCCATGGTTCGACACCGGCGGCGACGACTTCAACAAGTACGGACGATCGCGCTGGACAACTACTGCCGCTCAAGATAATGCTCCATGAAAACCTCAAGAGTTGCAGTCCAGAGAGGGGCCGGCACCGACGACGTCGCGGGACAACTACTGCTGCGCAGAGATGATGCTCAAGGATGTTGGACCGGGATGTCTTGGAACCGGCCGAACGGCTCGAACCCGCCGTTTTTTGATTTTTCCTTGACCAAAACTACCACACAACTAAAAAAAGCTATACAAAATGATCTAGTCAAAATGTTAAAAAAAAATTAAATTTTGAGACAATGGCTAACTATTACAATAAAGTAAATTTGGTTCTTTCGCTTTATCGGGGGGCCGCCTGTTTTTCCTTGGGATCTTATTTTTCAAATAGAAAAAGTGGAAGTGGTTCTCAATGTTTTTTTTACTATTCTTAAATTGAGTATTAAGAAATATCAAAAAAATATCGATTTCGACCGAAAATAGCCAATTTTTGACCAAAATTCTACCTTTTTAAAAGTTTTTAGATAGTTTTTCTCGTCGAAATATAGTTATCGGTTACTAAAATTACTATTAAAACATTTTCTATTGATTTACTAGGCATTTCTAGACTTTTACAAAAAAGTTCGCCCCCGATAATGCGAAAGAACCGTAAATTTCAAAACGGCTCTGTGACGAGGGCCCCGCGGGTGGCGAAGCGGCGCGGGTGCGTGGCGCGTTCGGTGGAGACAATGAAGCCTCAATAGTCCGCGGGGCCCTTGTTTATAGAGACTCTAGAAAGAAATAGCCAGATTAAGCATTACCCCCGTTTTCTAGATGGACAAATTCCCCACCGCCGCTCTCAACGGCTTCCTGGCCCAAGGGCAAGTTTTTTTGTAGAAATATTCAAGCCTTTTGGGAATTTCTCGCCGCGCCGCTAATAACTGTTTTGCAGCAACCACCCGTACAGACTGGTCGTCGATGATAACGTCGTCAAGGTGTACATGATCACCGCCGAGGTGCGACACAGGGTCGATTTGCTCAGATATTTTCAAAAAAGAAATTAGAGGAATGCTTCAAACTCAACTTTAAAAATCAGCCACGTGACCCAAAATTAAACTATTAATACTCGAAAATTCTACATTAAATTGTGCAAAATTTGAAGTATCAGTCTAAAACCGCACATTTTTGAAATTCGATGAAGTTTTCATAATGTGTCTTAGAAAACTCGTAATTCGGTGTAACGGAAATTTGATATATGGGAATAACTGACACTTATAATTAAGTTTCCCATTCAGGAAAGCATGCCGCTCGTCTTCGTCGAGGCAGACGCCAAGCAACTCGGCGCGGCCGCCGACCATCCTCCCCCCACCACCAAGCATCCTAACACGAGCGCCGCCGCTACCACCAGCCAGCAGCTGGCCGACCCGGGCTCTTCGGCCACGCCGGCCGGTCGTCCTCGTGAGGTAACAATGTTATCATACAGGATTTTTAAATTCATGAAATTTTCATAGCCTCGTAACATTTACCTATATTTCCAGAAAAACGGAGCCAAATATTTGAGATGGCAAAATCGCGATTTATTTTGTGCCTTTTTAATCAAAACCGGGATAGTAAAAAAACAGCTGAAAACTGCGCTATTTCTATTAGAAAAATTAGGCCCCAGGAAAGGTGGTTTCCCCACTGGTTAACGTGGACAAATTGAAACCTGGGGCGGGGGTGGGACGCAACTCGACTTTTTATGACTTACGACTCTTCAATATGAGTTTCAGCGCCACCAGTCGCCCGTCGATGTCAAGAACCTGAAGAAACGCCGGCGCCGTGACAGCCAGAAGAGCACGGTCAGCTCCCGCGCCAAGCGCACCTATCGTCTTTCGTGCGCGCCGAAGCGTCTGGATTTGTAAGTTTGCAAAATCTGGGTGCTGTTCTGTTGGGCTGTCGGAAATGCGGCCGTGGAGTGACAATTGCTTTTTGGCAGCCCAAATCACTTTACCGGAAAATCGCGCAAAGTAACACGCAAAATTCTCCCAATTTTCGAATTAAAGCTATAGAATATCATCGGGGAAATAAGGTGAGCTGAACCAGTTACGATTTTGTTAAAAAATTTCCGAAATCGCTATTTGAAGTTAGCGGGCAAATTGAATTTTACAAAAACATCTAACGAGTTCATTTTTTCAGTGAGGACTGATTTCCGGGTCTTCAATTTCCGCTGTTCGATGCCTTCGCCGCTTCTCTCGCCATCTTCGAACTATTCAACTCGCGATCTGCTCTCCTCGCCTTCTCCAAAAAGATGATCACCGACCAAAAGCTTTTTGTACAACTTGTCACCGGTCTCACTGCATAAAGCTACGAAAAACATCCAAAAACACATATATCGAAGAACAGAATGCAGTGCGGCGATTTGTTTGCGACGACGAAGTTCGACGAAAAGTTGCACCTCTTGCTTGAATCGCTTCACTTCAGCCCCCGTGCGAAGCTGCTCTTGCTGGAAAAGCTACTCGAAAGAAAACACGCGCAGCTGGCACAATGGTTTTCAATTCAATCTTCACTTATTCCCAATTTATCACCTTTTTGGTTTTTTTTTCTAAAAAATTCGAAATCTAAAGCATCACCGGATTACGGAACAATACTATCGCGCAATTTGGTGTCAAACGGACTCGAAAATCAACATTTCCGCTTTTGGGCAATTTCCCTTGAAGTTTTTGCAGGGTGCCTCCATTAATTGCTTTCAAAGTGTCCTTTTCCTTTCCGGGTTATTTTTCGTGTTTTTCTTTGTCAAGCCATCTTTTCAGGCGACCACGGTCCGGAAACTGAAGCCTAAAAGCTCTGAAGAAGACTGACTTTATCACATGGGAGGTAAGTGGATACTTCCTGGCCGAAACTTGTTTTGTTTAGGTTGATCAGAAGAATCGGCAAGCCGACATGATGCGCAAGTACCACGTGACGAAGCGCGAGCACCACGCCCTGTAGAACCGTTTGGCAGACAACGTATCTTTGCTTTGGAAAAATACTTTATTTTCTTGTAGGTACGGACCATCGCGTCGGAGCTGAAAGATTTGCCGTTGGGATCGGCGTATCGAGGACAGATTTCATGATTGAGCCGGCGAGCAAACTGGGCGAATTGTTGGAAAAGTAGGTTTTTCAAACCAAGATAGCTAATTACTTTATTTGTTATAGAATCGGCGCTTCGAAAAAGCTGGGGCTCAGTGGAAGACCGAGAGATCGTAAAATCGGACTCTTGAGTACAAGTCGGCTCTACCAACTTGGCTCGTAATTCGTGGCGTTTACCCCACAGGTTGGTCTCTTCATGAAAATACAAAAACAGTTTTATTCATTTAGTTTATGGACAGCCGTCGATCACATCTGATGTATGATATCCGGATATCGATGGATACCTATGCTTCATGGAATAGTGTTTCTATCAGCGGTCGACCACTCGTTGTACTTGTTATCAATGAAAGCATGTTGACCACGGTATTTGCATACATAATTCTTTTGAAAAATAATGTTTTAGGATGGTCTCTCGCCCTATTCAAGCATCTCCCTGAATCGCTTCATGAAATCGACAGTCCTTGGAACAATCAAGAAGATCAGTACCGGATATTTGGGCGGCGCTCGAATCGTGATGAGAAATATTGGAGATTTCTTCAGGATAACGGCCGTGTTGAAACTAGAGTTTAGAGGGTAATTTTGAAACAGCAAAAGCGAAATCTGTTGTTTTTAGTGTCTCTCGAGCGGAAGATTTGCTGAAAAGAACTGATACGACGGAACGAGTCCATTTCAATCTTCAAACGGAAGTGGATAGAAGAAAGAATGAAATGAATAGCCCAATGTCTGATGGCTCGCCAATGAAAAGCTCGCTAAAAAGAACGGATTCAGTGAAAGATCGAAGAACATATAACCTCATTCATAAAGCCTCGATGAGACATCGTTCGATTGTTTTGGATAGCAATGATTCGGGTAATAAAGCGATTTCTAAACTTTTATAACTTTTTTAGATCTTGTCCAACTAAGACTGGCCTTTGCGAAGAAGGGCAAGAATCTGGAAGACGTGGATTCGAAGCCAGGATCTGCTGACAGATCGGGATGCGCGTCTCGATGCTGTGCAACGTGCCCAAATGGCTGCCATGAAAGCATATGATCTCGTGGAAATGCTGGTGGATACGACACAGCTGGAAGAACAAGTGTCGATTCTGCATTGCTTGTGGATGAAATGGTATTTGAAGCTCATTTTCTAAAAGTTATTTTGATGTTTTTAGTGGTGGCGACTTCCCGGTAACCATCAACAATCGACAAGTATCCATTCGAGCATTGATGGAAGAAATATACTCTAAGGTATCGTTTAATAACGATTATAAACCTCTTTTTAGGCATGTGAAAGCAGAGATTGGGCATTGACAAGACTAACGGCTGGCCTTTTGAACAAACGACTAGAAGAACTTGGAAAGCTGTCACGCATCTTCTTGTACGCCAAAAACAAATTACGGTATTGAAGAAATAGAGCTAATAAATACGTGTTTTTAGGTGGGAATGCCGTCAAAACGAGAAGAAGCCATCACTTGCCCCAAAACAAACGAAGAACTGAAGGATATCATGTTCCGAGCCCTCCACGATGACCCTAACTCTTTCACCCTCAGTCAAGAAATTATCGTGGCTCTCGGCTCGATTGTCAGAACTGAACCCAAGCTTTTTGTCGAAATGTTCCGTCTAAGAATTGGACTGATCATTCAGGTATTTTGTGAAATGTTTTCTAGGTGCTTTCTTCTAGAGCTAGCATCCGAACTGGCGCGCCTGAAGATCTATCCGCCTCCGATGCCCTCCAAAATCTGTTGACAATATCCCCGTTCGAGCTCAAATCAATGCTGCTGATGTTGTTGAGTGGACGACTACTTGAAGAAGTGCCGTTCGATGATGAAGCTGCCGCGAAAGAGACCCGCACTGGGATTGGCAGCATATTGAGGAGAGAAAGGTAATTTTTTAGACTCTATCCTGAAACTCACGTTTTCTAGTCTCTACGAAAATCGATGCGTCATTCTCGTCGTGATGCTCCTCCTACCCCAAAAGAAGTGGATCTAATGGAAGCGGATTTGCTAGAAGAAGAAGCCGGTATTGACGATTTCCAATTCGGCATCTGGCTGCGACATCGAAGGATCGATGGCGCCCTCAATCGTGTCCCCAAATCATGCTGTAATTTGCACATTTTAAGCTTATTTTTGTGTTTTTAGAGTCTCTGGGATAGTGTTCATCGCTTCCACCATGGCATTCAGAGAATCGAATCATTTTGCATTGGGGATTGACACAGGTAATTTGAAAGTTGTAAACTATTTTTGAAATTTTTTAGGAAATGACGCGTCGTAAAATCAAGTTTGCGCTTGAAGTGGAGGAGGTTGTGAACCAGATCAGCGAACCGAAATACAGGGAAATGGTAGGGAATTTAGATTTATACTTGAAATTCTACTTTTTAGGTTATGGAAACGCTGTGGCTGCTAAGACGTTTATGACGGTATCAAATATTTTTAATACCAGTCAGGAGGGTTTTCTAAACAACGGTTTTTACGCTTCCTAAACGTAAAAACTTCACAAAATTTAGCAGACAATAGGAATTTGTGCTTTTTCGGATTAGCAATACAGTTTTGAAGAGTTTTTTAGCGTGGAAACGGAAAAGGTGGAGCGATATGTTGTTTAGGTAGCGAAGCACGATGTGGCGACATTTCTACACTTCTTTTTGTTTATAATTGCGGTTAGTCGTTTTCTCGTTACTTCTCCGCCCGTTTTTAGATTACGTGTTTGGGCGGAAGTGGGCACTCGACTTCTGATGCTGCTCGCCAAGGTCCATTTTGGGGATTAAAAGGTAAATGTTACCTTAGTGTTGTAGTTTATAGTAGTTTCCTTACCAGGAGTCGTTTTTAATTGGTTTTGGAGTTTCGGCACGATAAATCGGAATTTTTGGCTGTTTCGCATTATCCGGGGCTAACTTTTTTTCTAAGGTATTTTTAAGCGATAAATAGAGGAAGTTATCCTTGTCTTTTTTGCTATTGCTAAACGTAAAGTTTTGATCAATTTTCAGTAAAAAATGCAAAAATATTGTTTTGTTCGACCAAAATGTCACCAAGACATTTTTTCAAGTTTTTGATTGTCATTTTCACCAAAAATATAGTTAAACCTACTAAAATCTATTAAAACATACATTTCTGGGCTTATCGAAAGAAATTTGCCCCCCCGATAATGCGAAAGCACCGTCATTTTTAATTGGTTTTAAGGGAGGCGGGGGCGAGAACACTTTAAACAATTGTGCCCCCCAGGGCATGAAAACGGGGGAAGAGGCCAGCTGGTCTTTCCCGCCGGTCTTTTTCAGCTTCTTTGAGCTCTTGCTCCTTTTTCTGTCTCTTCCCCCGTCTCGAGCTCACGATCCGGAATCAATCAAGATCTTTTGCTGCCTTCACTGGGGGCCCCACAGCCAGGCTTTTGCCCCCCTTCTGCTTTCATTTTTCGTAGACACCGGGGCCTCACACCGGCCAGCATTCCTCACGATTTTTGTATTTTTTTAATTTGCGCATTAAGTACAGTAGTTTTTCGCCGTTTCTGTAATTATTTTACCTATTTCACAGTTTCTGAGCCTTAAATTGTAGTTATTAATTACCTAAATTAGGCAGGAAAATGATTAGATATTAATTTTTACTGAGTCCATTAGACGCATCGAAGCCGTTAAAAATTGTATTAGATCTTGCAAAAATGTATTTGTGGCTTTTTGGGCAAAATTTTAGAATTTTGAAATCAAAAACTATTTTTTAGAACTTTCTTGCAATCAAGGACTGCTAAAAAACGCTACAAATACATAATTTAGTATCACTAGATTAGTCTAGGCGGGAGAATTAAAGTTAGCTCCCCCCGCTAACAGGAAAGAACCCCGAAATGGAAATTTTCGGAGGGTATTAACTTTTTTATAATTAACACACCTTGAAAAATCATGGGGGAAAAGATGGGGGCGGTGTTTCGTTTAGGGGTCACCTGGCCAGTTGTTCTTTGTTTTTTTTCGGGGGGCAAAAGCCGGGGGCTTTGGCCAGTCTGTTGTCGAAAACTATTCGATCGACCCCCCCATTTCCTGGCCCTGCTGGCCCTCTAGCTATTTAACGACCACTTTCGACTACGGTATGTTGGGGGCGAGTTTTAGAAAAATTAACCTAACCACTTAGCTAGACCTTTTTTAACTTATGGTATTTAGATCAGGATATAGAAACTCGTTTCCGGAAATGGATTTTCGCTCTTTTCGAGTACGATATTGAGGCCAAATTATGGAAAAATCGGTTTTTACACGTTTGGGCTACGGTATTTGGGTCGCGCTTTGAGAAAAACGTTCCAAAAATTAATTTCTACTTTTGGCTACGGTATTTGGGCCATATTACAAAATCGTATTGAAAACCAGTCATTCAGCTTTAGGTTACGGCATTTAAGTCAGCTTCTAGCAAAAGGGGCTTAAAAATTTTATTACAACTCTTCTAGATTACGGTATGACGGTCAGATTTTAGGTATCAGGTTCCAAAAATAAGATTTGCCGGCTTTTAACTACGGTATTTGGGTTGGTTTTAGAGAAAGAGGTTTTTCAATAAGAATTTTACGCTTTTAGCTCCCGGATTTTGGGCAGGTTTATAAAACACGTTTGTCAAAAGTGGTTTTTCCGCTTTTTGGCTACAATACGGCAGTAATTTTACAGGCATTTGCTTCGAAAATTCGATTTACCGCACCGAAAATACGGTATTTTGGTCAGATTCTAGAGCGTTGCGTGCGCGTCGCGTGCCGCGGTTGGCGTGTGGGCGCTAAGACATTAGAGGCAAACAAAATTTAAGGCCCCCCTCTCAGAATCAATACGCTGACTCAACCGCGGCCCCTGCAAACCACCCTTGTAAATAGCAAATAAACGGAATGTTCGCAGCGGGCTCTCCACCAGTAAAAATAGTGTGGATATATCGTTAGACTATCAGTTTGGGGGATGGCAAGGGAGTAGAGCTCATCCTGCTCTGTTTGCCAACCCATTCTCTCGCTCTCTCACTCGCTCTCTCTCTCTCTCTCTCTCTCTCTCTTTGACTCGAACGGGGGAGGCGGGTCTCCAGCGGCGGGAGGCCCTCTAAAATCCCCAGATTTCCAAGTTTCCACCGGCACTTACCCGCCTCTAAATACCGATAATCGGCCTATTATTATGCCTCCACCCACCGACCCGGAACGGTATTGCATTACGCTATCAAAATGTAGATTTTTTAAATTTCTCAATTTTCCATATTAAAAAAACCTTAAAATACCATAAAATTGCCTCAAAAATGACTCTAAAATTTTGGTTGCCTTCCATTTTGTAGAATTACGCTGTGAAAAGCGCGATTTATTATAGAAGCAATTAAAAATAAAACAAAAATATTGCTTTTGGCAGACGAGACCGAATCCTCGGCGAAGCGAGGGAACTCTTGCACCACGCCGACGGCAAATCGTGGCAAGAGCTAGCCGCCGAGAAGGAAAAAGAAGACATCTTTGCCGAACCGTGTGTTAAATTCGACTTTAAAAATGATATTTTGTATTTTCTTAGTCTTCCCCTGGAAGAGCTGCTCGAATCGCCGATGTCGTACCCCTTCCGCCTGCCCCGCAGTCGATCGGCCGATTGGTCGTCCAGCACGAGGTATTTTGAGGCTAAAAAGGGGGTTTAAAAACGTTTAAGACTTTTCAACTGGATTTTTCAAAAAAAGTTACAAAAAAACCTAGCTGCCAAGGCACGGGCCGCGCCATGGAGGGACAAGAGCCCCCTTTCCCCTATCCTGTCTCCGGCTGCCCTCTAGTGCATTGGTAATGTGCTCGCTCCACGCGCGCATGACCCGGGTTCGACCCCGCCCGGCGCCAGAATTTTTTGCTTTTTGCCCAGAACTCCCCTATCAACCCAACGATTACTGTATTCGATTTTTACTACAGTACCCCTCAACCGCCAGTTTTTAGGGAATCCTACCTATCCCGATGGTCGCGCGAAAACACGCCGACCGCCTGTACGGAACGGTACGCGCGTGACGTCCGTCGCAGCTATACCCCCGTCAGGGATATTGCCGATTCCAGAGTAATTTTAATACAATAGAATTTGGTTCAATAAAATCACTAAATACTAAAACAGCTATTAAATTTTTAGGTGATTGAGGACGGCCGGCGACCGTATTCCTCTTACAGTAAGCGCACGCCGATCGGGTTTATGACACTCCCCTACCGTACCAGCATCAATTACGCCGAGGTGAGTGTCTGGGGGCTACAAACTACAAATTTTCAACTACAAGCAGGCTACAAAATACATTGTAGCGCAAAGTACAGGCTACAAACTACAATATTTATTATTTTAATCGCAGGAAGAGCAGCCCATCCGAAAATACGACGTCTTCCAGGTGCGCTCGTGGAGCTACCCGATTTACAAGTAAATTTTTGGAATTTGAGACCCATTTTTGGGCCCTATTTTGAATTAAATTTAGTAAAACCCGAATTTAGGTATTTGAACCACCGCGAGCACAACTATGAACGGCCCTACTCGCTCGCCCGGGCTTACGGTAATTTAAAAAATAAGGAATTTGATTTTTTTAGGTGTTTATTTTGAAAATTTGTAATCTTTTGCAAAGATAAAACTAGTATTTTAAAATCAATTTTGTTAATTTTCAAGGTTGCGTATCTAAAAATTTCTTTATTCTTTGTTTAGACGCTAAAACTAGTAAATTTTTTTCGAAAAATTTAAACGCAGAGTTTTTAGTTTATTTTGTAAATTTGACACCTTTAAATATTTCTAGCTTATTTATTTCATGTTAAAATAAATTTATTTACGTAATTAAGGCACAACCCCCGCGTACACGACCCCAACAATGACCATCGACGCGAAAACACGCATAGATGGCAGAAGAGGCTACAGGTTTCGCACAATGGCTGCAAACTACAACCTAAAACGCCTACTTTTTAGCGGCTACGCGTACGTGGGAATGGAGAGCAACTTTGACCTCACCAGCCGCACCAGAAGCCAAACGAACGCCAACTATTGGCGCAGCAATTACGCGTCGTAAGCGGATAGCCCCAGGCCATTTTTTTATTGCTATTTAATTGCCACATTTAAATATTTAGAGGGACTATTGAGGTGCCGGAAGGTAATTCTAAGACTTCTCCGGGTTCTACTTTCTATCCCCCGCCTTAAAAATTTAAAATTCCCTTTTCCAACCCCCAATTTAAAAAAGGTTATATTTTTTAAAATTCAAGCTTAAAACTTCAAACGGTTTGTATAGTTTTATGGACAATTTTATTTTGGAAATATAAAACTTTTAAAATTCCAATTTTTAAAGGTTGAAAATCGAAAACCCTAAAAATAAATTTTTGATATGTTGAAATTCCTGACTTCTTTCGAAAACGTTTAGACCTATTTAATTCCGTATACTGACAAACATTTAAGATTTAGGAATAGAAAACATTTATCATCTACAAACTTTACAAATTTTACAAGTTTAAAACATCCAAAAATAAGAAAAAATTTTACTCGACGAAATAAAATTTCTAAAATTTTTCAAAACACCCTGAATAACCGTTTAATAATTATCACCTCTAAACCCCCTGAAATTTAATAAATTAAAGTACAAAAAAACAACAAATCAATTAGTTGCAGATCTCCGTGGCTCACTCCTCGCCACCACTACGCCAGTTCTGCACTCCGTCACTTCAGCGCTTATCGACCCCAAAGCTACGCGTCAACCCGATATTTACGATACTAATAAAAAGGTGGGTAATAAAAATAATAATTCAAAACTTTAACCGATATCTTACAAAAAAACCTGAAGTTTTTAAAATTTTTAAAATTTTAATAAAATTATTTTATATTGTTCCTTTTTGGGGCAATTTTTTTCCTTATTTTCTTTTTTTTCCTTTTTTTTTCTTTTTTTCTTCTTATTTTTCCCCCTTTTTTTTTTTTTTTTTTTTTTAAAAATAATAAATTTTAAATTTTTAAAATTCTTTTTTTGTTGTTTTTTTCTTTTTTTTAAAAAAATTATTTTGTTTTTTTGTTTGTTTTTTTGTTTTTTTTTCGTTTTTTTTCGGTTTTTGTTTCTTTTTTTGTTTTTTTTTGTTTTTTTTTTTTTTTTTTTTTTTTTAATTATTTTTTAATTTTTTTTTTTTTTTTTTTTTTTTTTTTTTTTTTTTTTTAAAAAATTTTTTATTTTAATTTTTTTTTTTTTTTTTAAAAAAAAATTATTAAAATGTTTTTTTTTTCAATTTTTTTTCCCCAATATTTTTGTATTGATTTGATTAAATGTTAACTTCTAAATCTTCAAATACAAAATACGGTAAATATAAAGCAATACAAAAAAAATTTAAATTTTCAATGTAAAAAATAAGGTTAACTTTAATCTTCGAGATTTTTACATTTTAAATAAAAATTGTATTTTATTAAAATTAACTCTACTTTCTCTATAGTAAGCATTAAATTATTGCTGAAAAAATCTAAACAAAATGCAGTTAAATTTTTTAGAATAGGTCAAATCAAAATAATTTTTTAAATACGATATAATTTAGTTTAATTAAAAATCCATTTAGGAGGTCCACTTTTCGGACGAAAAATCGGCCGAAGACCCGCCACTACAAGCTACAACCACCGCCTCGCGTCTCAGACGAAAAATGCGAATGCACTACCGTAACGGCCAAGCTTCATAGCATATCCTGTCCTGTATTTCTATATTTTGTAACGTAAAATTAAATACGACAATGGCACCGTCTTGCCAGTTTCTCCAGATTAAAAAAAACTGCCATTTCTGTAGATATTTTGTGATCTTTATGTATTTGTCATAATTGCGTTTTTTAATGTGTTTTTATAGTGGGTTATGGATGTTGCTAGTAAATTGATTGCTTGGCTTGAAAAATTGGATAAAAATACATTGAAATGATGAGAGAGAAACTTCGGCCGGTGAGACAATGCTAGGGCACAAAACTCAAGGGTATTCGGTAGATTAAAAAATAATTATATTGCTTTTCCATAGAATTTTCTATACTATGATTTTATATTCAATTTAATTACCAATTTTGTAAATTTTTTAGTAAAAAACCCCAAAAATCCAGTTGGGGTGGACCCTTTGGCGCAGGTCAGGCCCCCTTCCCTTCTTAGCCCTCTCCCCCCTCCCCTCCCCTGTGCTACCGGTTAGCTCAGCTGGTAGTGCGTCTGTGTATTAGTCTAGAGCATGCCACCTTTCATGGGTTCGGCTTTCTGACATTCATATGTTGTACATTAATTTTGCTTCTTGCTCAAAAATACCTATAATATATTTCTTGATGCTTTTAAATACTTTTGACATACTTTTACTTATTCATTTCGTATTCTTAATAACCCATTAAAAATTTATACTTATTTCACCCTTGTTCGGCAATTTTTCCACTAAAAAACTTTCGAAAACTGTTTAAAAACGGTTAAACCGAAGCTAGAGGCGAATTTGAAAATTCAAATAAATTAGCATTCACCGGAAGTTCCGGTTATTCCGATTTACTCTAAATCCCCCAGGGCATTTCATTCTCCTCACCCAACGACCCGTCATCCGGTCAACCCGGCCCCCCTGCCCACCTCATCGATGGATCAAAGGGTAAATATTTATGTAAATATGGCTAGATGTAAAGAATTTTATGTAAATTCAATATTCCAAGATTACTTTTTTAGATTTGGAAATGGCCGCCTTCGAGACGTGCGACGTGCTGATGACGAGGCGCTGAGGGAGCCGCTGCTGCCTGTCGTTCGGGAAGAGACGTCGCCACTTGTGCCTCTCCCGCCACTTCTACAACGACTACGGCAGTTCGCGACGGTCTAGTTTGAACTTAAATTACGAGATTGAGAACTACGGCAGAACCAGTGAAAAAAGGCGCTGCCGGTGCTAATGCACTTAGGGGGAGGTCCAGCTATTGACTACAAGGAGCTCCAAATGGCGCTTTTTCACCCCGAAGTCTCCGGAAAAGCTACGCTAGGCCTTAGCCTAGGTTTAGCTTCACACAAGCGAAGCTTCAGCCAAACTAAGCTTAGCTCCAAGCTGATTGGGGAGGTATCTAAATTTTCCATCGAAATTTGGCAAGTCAGGTACCCATTCGACGCGCCTGGACGACCGGATTCCAAATATGTAATAAAATCAACGGGAGGGCATAACGACAGAGAGTTATGAGGGTTTTGCCAACCTAGAGTCAGAAAGCGTCCAATTCTGAATTTTGCCCCGAGCTTATTTTAGCGTCACTGAACCTTTTTAGGGGTCACACAATTAAGAAAAACTTATTCCCGAGTTAGGAAATGCAAAAAAGATCTGGAACTGGTCAAAAAGCAAATATCTTAAAAACTTACGAGTTGGAAATATCAGGGGTCTAGAGGGGCTTTGCTCCCCGTTGACCCGATGTTCGGCATTTTCGACGCGTTCTCGCACTGTCGGGCCACAGGAATTGATGTCCCTGGGCGCCCTCTACCACGACAGCGTTTTTTTCACTGCCGGGCCTCTACAGGGACTTGATCTCCCCTTGTGGATCCCTCTACATGGCAGATGGTCTACTGTCGGGTTGAACAGGAAGTAATGTCCCTGTCTGCCCTCATCCACGACAGCCTAGACAGAGTTGGTATCCACTCAACACCCGCTACTCGGCATTTTCATGCGTCGCTCTGACACTATCGGGCCACAGGTAGTGATTTCCCTGTCGGCTCAGGTTTACAGGGACTTGATCTCCCCTGGTAGACCCGTTCGCGCTTCTTTGACGACTACAGGAAGATGTGCTGTTGACCACTGCTCCAAGACGATCTGCCCGCCTAGAAGCGCCACGTGTACCCGCAGCCTTCTATCGTGCTCTTCGGCTGATGATTATTGATAGGAAAGTTTTCAGTGAAATAGTTTGTAAGAATTAATTAGTACGTACCTAAATTTTTGTTATTTTCAGCGACGCTTCAATCTGACCGGAAGGCTGATGGCGAGCCGGGGAGCCGGCCACTGCTGCCAGTCGATCGTGCTGCTTCTCGTGCCTCTGAAGGACGACGCGTCAACTCTACTGCCTCTCTCGCCACTTCCGCAACGACTACGGCAGTACTCGACGGTTTAGTTTACATATTTTCACGCTCGCATCACTAATTAAATTCATACAATAAATTAAATTAAATTCAATAGTAGTTTTAGTGATACAAATAGCAAAATAAGTGGAAAATCCAAATTGGGATCCAGATTGTTTTCCTTAGTACCCCAGTTTCTACTAAAAAAAACTTTCGAAACTTTACAACTGTTTTTTTTTACTATTTCTCAACGTAAATCGGATTCTCGGTGGCAATACTAAATAGCCGCACAACCTAATAAAGACCCTGAGCAAACAGGAAGGAATTGTCCACTATTAAAGCAATTTCTCGACATAGCTATGTCGTAATAATACGAAGCGTTGCAACTGAATTTGATCATCAAATCATATCCAACGGCTCACTCATCCCCTAATGTCCCTTAATGCGCGTTTTCTTTCTTTTTTTGTTTTGCTCGAAAATTAGGACTATTTTTACACCAAAACCATTACAAAAAAATTTCCGAGATTCCGAAACAATACTATGTCGTAATTTGGAGTCTACCGGAATCCCGTTTCTAAAGTAAATTGTTTACTTCAAAAATATCAGTTTACCTTACCAAAGCTTCGTTTCTATCGTGGTTCACTATAATATCTATTATAGGCCGGAGGGGGATGCGGGGACAAGCCGAGGACAGGACAAGGAGAGCTCGACTTCCGAATTTTCACATTTTTGCGGTTGTACGGTTAGTCGTTTATGAGTTACTCCTCCGGCGATTCTTTTTCAGGTACCAAGCGAATATAAGTGACGTCAGCGTGGCTGAGATGTCTTTGGAGGCGTCAATACGACACTGGCAACATGGGCAAGCTGCGGCAATCGTTCAACCAAGCCTCGATCGAAATCAGAAGGCGATTAATGAAAGTTTATTCAGGTAGCTAGGTTTTCAAAATTATTTTAGAAACGGCTACGCGATGATACGATTGACGCTGTGACTGAGCCTTGAAAGGATAACGCGCAAGGACAAGGCGACATGAGAGCAACCCATGATGCCGCCCGACTTCCTCTTCTGCTGCTAATGTTTTCATTTTTGCGGTTAGTCGTTTTACTATATACTTCTCCGCCTCTCTTTTTCAGATATGGGGAGCGATTGACGATAACGACAACAAGGAATGGCTGACGGGGATGGATGGAGAAGACATTGGAGCTGGGAAATGGGTGAACGTCTTCGAATCGGTGCCAATTCAAGCAGAAGGGCTTCCATGGAAATTCTAGAGGTACTTTTAGTTTGAAACTGATTTTAGATCCGGGCAGCCCGGGTGGGCAACGTGGTGCTAATGGAGGGGAGAGGTGCCTTGTTGACGAGATGGCGCCCGACTCCATCTTCTTTTGCCAATGTTTTGATTTTTGCGGTTAGTCGTTTTCCTAGCTACTTCTCCGCCCCTGTTTTTCAGATATGGCATTCGGGCGACGATAACGACAACTGGATGTGAGACGAGTATCGACTGACGTGATTGTGAAGGCGAGAATGCGTCACTGACAACCTCAGCAAGCCGTCGCGAACGTTGGAGCCAGCGCCAATCGAATCAGACGGCGATCAATGAAAGTTTATTCAGGTAGTTAGATTTTCAGAAAATCCTTTTAGAATGGGCTACGACATTATACCTACGATAGGACATTGACAGCTCTACGAAGACTGCCCCCGTGAAACGCCAAGCGAGGCCGCAGCCTGCTGGCGTAGCGGCGGGCTTACCCTGAAGGAAAGTTTCCATTGAAATAGTTATTATAAAGTCATAGTACGTACCGAAATCCTTATTCTTTTTTCCAGCGTCGATAGGCCGCGTTCTGGAAGGCTGATGACGACGAGCCGGGGGAGGGTGTTGCTGCTGCTTGTCCTTCGTGATGACGTTCGCGCGAGGAAGAAGCGTCGCCCCCGCTACATCTACGGCCTGTTCTACAATCTTCTCGCCAGCCATCACTCCAAAATGCGCATTATGGTCTATCCTCTTTCGTGGGTAGACATCTGGGCAAGAGTCTGGTTTCCCACCATCCCTTCAGCCGAGATTGCAAATTTTCTACCTGGATTCTTTTTATGATTCGCTATTTTTCTGCTCAAATTTAATATACTCCTTCTTACTAATTAGTCCAAGACGAAGATCTTCGTGTACTTTCGGGCTTCTAGCAAAAAATTTGGGGGTCGGCTGGGGGCGGGAGGTAAACTAAACTCTTGCCCTGATGGCATCGTTGAAGCGCAGTCCGTACCCACCGAGACTGCTACGACTGCTTCAGAAAGGTAAGAACACCCTACGCGAGTTCATAAGCTGGCTTTAGGCCAAGAAAGCAGCTTCAAGCCTGTGGGCCGTGGGACACGGTGCTTCCAACGGGCTGTGGTCAACAAGGCGCAGAATCATGCAAAGATTGGGAATTGATTTCAATAGTGTTGCAAACCGAATAAGCCATAGAATAAGCAAACGCTAGCCAATAAAATAATCAAAACAAAGCCGCTTGCAAGACTTCAGGCCCAACCAACTGCGTCTACCTCAAACTCGCCGATCTCCAGCTACTCAAGCTCAGGTCACCCAGCGAATGCGGAATCATGCGATCCTGAACCATTTATTTGCACTCATCAAATTTTACTTCAAACCAATAAATCATTTACTTGCAGTTTTTGGAAAAAACGGAATCAATCTACGTGCTTTACCTTCCTGGGCGTCTACTTCTTGGTTTTGACGTTGTATAAAACGGCTAATATAATAAATTCCATTGGTGCTACATTGTACAGCCGTGAAAAAATGAAAATACACCCAATACAACACTTTTCGCCAGAAAAAGATTCCCTTTCAAAAAGCTTTTGCACGGAAAGGGTGCTTTGAAATGATTCGTCGCCCCGGCCGCAGCGCCCAAAACAGCCCCACCGCATTGCCAAACAGATGCATAGTCCTTACGCCTTTTGCGCTAGCTATCTGTATTGTCTGATTGTTCTTTAGTTATTTTTATTTTCTTTGTTTATTTCGCATTTATTTTTGATTAGAAAAGGATTCCGAGACAATACTCCTTCCGCCCCCACATGGCCCTCAATATCGTGGACTTTCATACGGTAGCCGCCTCCCAGCCCCGCCTCGAATTTTCCGCCTAAATTTCAATTTTCCGACTTTTTGACGTTTCACTTTTTTTCTGTCGCTTCTGCTCGTTGATCTTGTCCCGTTTTAATACTATTTAGCTTTTATAGCATTCTGTTTTGGCGCACCTCTCCTTATCTTCTCCCCAATTCTGCTTTTCTAGGCTCTGCGACATTATTTCTTTCTTCTTCTTCTTTCTTGCTTTATTCGTTTTTTTTTCGTTTTATATCTTTCCCTTTCAGCAATGTCCGGCGGATACGAATGCTCGAGCCTGGCGCAGGATGACGTGGTGAGGCTGCTCGCGACCTACACGCACATCGGCACCACGAACGTCGACCACCAAATGGAGCAGTACATCTACGCACGACGCGCTGATGGTCAGTTTTTTTTGCATTTCTTGGAGGCAGCTGCTTGGAGGGCTACCAAAGTTGGCTCTATGGTTTTTTGCCCGTGTTTTCAATTGCCGTTGCCTTTTTCAATGTTTTTTCCAGGCACCCACATCATCAACTTGAAGCAAACCTGGGAGAAGCTGCTGCTGGCCGCGCGTGCCATCGCAGCCGTCGAGAACCCGGCTGATGTGATCGTCGTCTCGGCCCGTCAATTCGCCCACCGAGCCCTGATGAAGTATGCTGCGCATACAGGAGCCACCCCGGTTTTCGGCCGTTTCGCCCCGGGCGCCCTCACTAATCAAATCCAGAAGAACTTCAAGGAGCCGCGCATTATCATCATCTCCGACCCGCGGATTGACCATCAGGTATTCAAAAAGTTTTTTTAGTTTCATAATTGTCTTTGTTAGGTCGTCACGGAAGCTTCATACGCCAACGTGCCGATCATCGCCTTCACCAACTCGGATTCGCCGTTGAAGTTGATCGACATCGCCATTCCGTGCAATAACAAGGTAACTTTTCCTAGAATTTTTTTAGTTTCCTTTTAGGCCGCACAAGCTGTTGGTCTGATGTGGTGGCTGCTCGCTCGCGAGGTGCTCATCCTGCGTGGCAAGGTGTCTCGTGATGGACCGTTCCTGATCGAGAACACGGAGATCATGCCGGATCTCTACTTCTTCCGCGACCCAGCCGATATCGAGAAGGAGCAAGCTGCCGAAGAATTCGAGGCCGGTCAGCAAGAACCCATCATCACCGAGGTTCCATTCGACTTCAGCGCTGCCCCGGAGATCAAGGACTGGGCGGCCGAGGTCAACGCCGACAACTGGAATGGCCAGCCGGCCGGTCAAGAATGGGGACAAGCCCCCGCGGTTAACCAATGGTGAACCCGACAAATACCCGTTTTAAATTGTTGTTTTGTGTTGCGAATAAATACTTGTTGCCCTTTTTGCCTTGGAATAAAGACATGGTCTTCAACCATTGCCCTTTCCTTTTACTGGATTTTTCTCCGGTCAGTATCTTTGGTATTTCGCAGGAGTTTTGGAGCTATTGATGTAGGGGGAGGCTGGCATCTTCTTTTTTTGGGGGCTTAGGCATAGGTTTAGCTTTACCCTGGCGTACGCTGGGCTTGGTTTTGGCTTAGTCTCTGCTTGCCTAGCCCTAGCTTAGACTAAGCCTAAACCTAGCTTCGGATTGTAGACAAGCTAGACCGGAAAAAGCCTCGAAAAAAAAGCTGCACCCCCGCCCCAACATCAATAGCCCTAGAGCTTTTTTTGAGAATTTCATTTTAGACGAAAGAAGATGGCGCCAGCACGCAAGGGCAAGACCAAGGAGGAGCAGCCCGTCGTCGCCCTGGGCCCGCAAGCTCGCGAGGGTGAGAACGTCTTCGGTGTCGCGCACATCTACGCCTCGTTCAACGACACCTTCGTCCACGTCACCGACATTTCCGGTAATTTATTGGATTCGTTCATTGACATTCTGACTTAGGCCGCGAAACGATCGTGCGGGTCACTGGTGGCATGAAAGTCAAGGCCGACCGTGATGAGTCTTCGCCCTACGCTGCCATGCTCGCCGCCCAAGACGTTTCAGAACGCTGCAAACAGGTACTTTTTTTGATGAACGGTATTGCCTGGAACTGGTCTTGCATCTGCGGTTTCAAATGGACCGTGCTCGTGCGTGTTTAGCGATTTTTCGGTGCCTGCATCCGTGTTATACCTTGTTTTTTAGCTCGGCATCAACGCGCTCCACATCAAGATTCGGGCCACCGGCGGCACGCGCACCAAGTCGCCCGGACCAGGAGCCCAGTCCGCCCTGCGCGCCCTCGCCCGAAGTGGAATCAAGATCGGCCGCATCGAAGACGTCACCCCAATCCCGTCCGACAGCACCCGAAGGAAGGGAGGACATCGCGGACGTCGCCTCTAATTATACTTTTACGTGTTTTGTTACTGTTGTTGAAATTTCTTGAATAAACAGATTCGACTTACACTTACAGCCGACTTACAGCACGGGTGCATCATAGGTGGCGGACGGGCGCTTGTTTCAGTGGGTTGGCTTTGTCGCGTTCTGTCAAACTGCTTGTTCGGATGCCGGAAATTTGCATGGGACGCATAAATGCGGCTGGTTACGCGGATTCTTTGCGCAGTTTTTCGCTATGTCGGCCCGTGTTCCAGTTCTTCTGCTTACCTGTCTGATCGGGTATCAAAACAGTATTTATCTCTTAACAGTGCCTAGGCGTGGGCACTCGTTTCCTTGCCTTTGATCGCGGAGACTGGCCGCGGGATTTTCAGAGGATTTGTGGATTCGGTGCTCTCTTGCTGCTTGCGACTTCTCCTCACCGCAAATTGGTAAGGCAAAATACTCTGGTGACTTCCTATGTGCGTTTTTTAGTTGAATGATTTGGTTCCTGCGTGGGCCCCGAACTCGTGTGTCCCTTCTGATGGCTTGTGCACTACAATTCGGCTTCCCGCCCCCACTCGTCAAGGCAGAAGCTATTCAAGGCCTTCAACAAATGCATCTTTTCGCGCCCCATTTTGTCAATTTACGTCTTATGGTTCTGGAGATTATAAGGGATTATTTTTCCGCCATTCAGATAGCAATGTCTTGTTTTCAGCCTTCTTTCCTGTCCCGACTTGTGCTTGCGTCGGGCTGCTGTCTGCTGCCTTCGCCAATTGGTCCAGAAGGGAAGCCAAAGAAGGGCGAGAGTATGCGCCTCTTTTCGGAAGGCGTTGTCGATGAAACGAAGAAATTACCCCTCCCCGACACCCGCCTCGAAGGCGCTCTATTTGGGGATGCTGGATTTCGAGACAGAACCCACTTTACGGTATATTTTGCATCGGTTATCAAAAACTTTTTCTCTAGTTCCCATCTCGAAGAGACGTTGATCTCCCTGGTGCAAGCAACAAGCGCGGGCCTGCCCTCAAAGTGGCACTCACTCTGCAAGGAATTGCTGGCTTCAAGGGCTGAAGCAGGCGCTCGTAGAAGAGGCCCGTGATGAAGAAAAGGATGAAGACGAAGATGGCGATGTCGCGCTGGTCAACAAGAGTTTTTGTCACCCAGGTGAGAACCACACGAATAGCTGACAACACGCATTTTCCAACCTGATCTAAAAGATTTTTAGATTGTACAACGGCTGATGTCGGTTTGCGATTCGGAGAGGGCTCATCTGGATTTGGCGCTGACGAAAGGACTGGAGATGTCAGCCCAAGGCCGTGCCGTCTACATCGTCCTCCACTTGTCCGATCTTGTCAGGATGTCTTTCATCGGAGCCACCAGCGATATCACCAAGCTTCGACTGGATCCCTCCAAGATGTGCTCACCCGCTTCCGGCCGTGCCTGAACCCGAATTCCCAGGACATGTGATTTTGGAACAATTCCAAGCACAGGTACTATCTACATGAAGAATCAAAAACAATGTTTTGTTTTAGGTTGATGCTGCTCTCCGGCTGGCATTCGCCGATGAGACGCCCTCTGATGTGACGGCAGCAGCGTGCCAAGTCTGTTCCACCTGGATTGGCCGTGGCGTCGCTCGTGACCTGAACGATCTTCGGCGTGTGCATCAACTGCTCGTTTCTTCATTGGGAAAACTGTGACACGGATCAAATAACACCCAGCGCTACATTGACAGCACATCTACATTGGAGAAATTGAGCATCCTAAAGGCATCGGCAGAAGTTTACGTCACGGCAATCGAACAAGAGCGCAACATGGATCATCGACGAGAAGGTAATTTTTATAGCAATAAGGCCGATTGACTATCAATAAATTTTTCGGATTCGTTCTTTATATTCCCCAATAGCTTTCGCTAAATTTATTTCCCAGATGACATCTACCCATCGGGATCAAGGGAATCGCTGCTCCTTCTGGTTCAGCCCGAACTTGAGCATCGTGCCGGATATTGGCTCGCAGCTCTTAGGTATGGTGAATCTAATTGTTTTGATAGGTTGTTTAGGGACGCTGCTTTGCTCTCGCTACCTGCCAATTTCAATGGTCAAATGCCGAACGAGGGCGGCGCTTTCTACCAAGTTTTGGTAGAAAGCGCTGTGAAATGAGAAACCGGCTCTTTAGAAAGATAGCGCGGATGCTTGTCGAGAATACTATCGACAATGCTGGCGCAGCGACTTGGCTGACCAACGCTTCTTTCGTGCTACCGACAGTCTGCGAGGTATGTGGAGTTCTTACCTTCACGGCCTTCTTAGCCGTCTGACGTCTGGCCGGATTCTCGTCGCGTTCATGCGTGCGTGCGCCTTCACGTCATGTTCGGCTTGGCGATCGAAGCGCTGTCAAATCGTACGACGAGCATACAGGATGACGCCACTGTTCAAGTATTGTTAATATTCAACGTGTCTACTGCAATGCTTTTACAGCCATATGTGAAAGCCCCCACACCCGCTCTTCTTGTACGTTTGGGTCCAAATGCAGGCGATAAGCGATGTACGAGGCTGCTCGAAATCATAAATGTTTTGCACAGGTATGCGCGGCCATCTAGCTCAGATTTTGATATATTCCAGGCTGATCCTACAATGCTGCGTTGATTGTACGTCCGTAATTCTTGACGCAGCAAGGGCTTCTATCCAGATTAGTACGAAGAAAGGTGTGTATATTGTATCATCTGTATTATTCGTTTAGATGTCGAAAACGGAAATGTCGAACCAAAGGCGGTTGATGTACCGAGCAACCTCTTTGCCGGCGGTGAAGGTGCGGCTATCGGGAAACCCCAAGCGAATACGAAAAGGGAAAGACGGTCGACTCACTCAGCAAGACACTGAGCTACGCATTCCTGGAGTTGTCCCTCTGCGTCATAGTTCGACAGGTATGATCGCTATTTGATTAAGAATCGTTTCAGATGCCCCAACTGAATAGCAGCGCCATGATACGCTGGCGATCGACAGCTCCTTTGCACCAAAAGCGAGTGAGCCGACTAACGACAGAAGGTGCAAAGCTGGTCCAGTGTGCGTTCGCCTACTTTCACAGGTTGGCGAATGACTTCTGCGACTTACTAGCAGCATATTTAGATACCGCATCTGCTGCATCCATCTGCGCTTCCTACAACACTACCCCTCCTTCTCCATGTGGCTGTTTCGCGAGAAGCAGCTCGCATCGATGGGTCTTCCATCATATCCGATTTGCCGCCGGGTCACATCACAGGTATCGAATCGTTCCAAAGTTGTTAATTCATTCGTTTAGGCGACAGTTGGCACTGGTCAGCTGTACAGAAGTCCTCAAGCTCGCGCCGGCCAGCAGATCAGGAGGAATCGACGATTGTTCAGGTATTTAAGTTTTGAAAATTTATTTTAGGGGCGCTAATGCGATGATGGGGGGTTGTCGCGATGAATGGACCGGGTGAGCAACGCGCAAATAGACGCTGCTCGCCTGAAGTTGACGACTATGAACGTCGTCTATGGAAATTCTGTGGCCGGTGCGGTTTGAAGGTAAATAGTTTTGTTGAAATTCCCCGGAGTTCGCTTTGTAAAGTGAATTGCTTACTTCAAAATGCCATTTTCCGTTTCGTTTTGTCTTAATGCACCATATTTTTTGTAGGCCTGAAGGTGTGCGGTACAGGTCGACGACGAGGCGCTTCTCAAGTACTGAATCGTCTTATTTTTGCTGTTTAGCGGTTAGTCGTTTTCGAGATACTCCTCCGCCGATTCTTTTTTAGGTATAAAATCGGATGAATGTGGACGGCTCGACGGGAAGTTCAAGGTTGTATCATGCTGGATGCGAATGGCAAGTCACCGAGCCAATCTCAAGTCGATGAATGGAAGATTATTCAGGTAATTCGTTTTCAAAACTTGTTTTAGAATGGACTACGCGATGCTACGCTATGAACGGAAGGTGTTAGGAACGCACGAGGAAAGGCGCTTCTCTCCAGAAGACGGTCTACAACTTTTCCAGTTGCTCGACAATTCGAAGAGCCTGAAGAGCGAGATGGCGAACCGGAAATGTATTAGGGAGCTGAGGGAGTTGCTGAGGCATCGGTTGATTGTAAATTCATTAAAAAGAATCATGGTTTAGCTTGAAGAAAAACGTTTGCTCTCTAAAAAGTTGGAAGAATTTTCGAAGTATTGTGAAATTTTTGGCACTTTCAAATCTAGTTTAAAACTTATTAGAAGCAATATAAAAGCCCTTAATATTTCGTTGCTCAGCCCACCTGGCAGCGTAGAAAAAAAATACGTAATTTGAACTGCATTCACTCGTTGCCCAATGTGACGAGAGCGTGACGGTGACGTCGAGAAGGATACATCCATCGCAGCAGCCGCAAAGTAATTATTTGAACTTTTCCTATTAAATTTTTGTCTTTAGAATCGCAAAGCAACGCCGTGATGAGGGCATCTACTTCAAGTACGCAAGAGCCAGAGAATCGCTCCAGGCTACGGTAATAATGCTCGTTTTGTTGGATCTTTTTTTTCAGATTTTGCTCTGATGACCCCGCCGGATCATCTACGAATTCTTGCTCTAGCGTCGACGCATCTGCTGCCCAAATCCTACTCGCTGGCATATTTATGTTTCATTTGTTTATAGTTTCACTTGTTGCACTTTGCCGTCCCCATTGTTTAATTGAAATAAATTTTGTTGCCAAAATGGTTGGAAAAATAACACACATTAATGGTTTGTAGGCCCAAGCGTCATACTGATTCGATCCATTCAAAAATTTTATGGTTCTTTCGCATTATCGGGGGGGTGAACTTGTTGCATAAGTCTAGAAATCTTGTGTAACGTTATAGCAAGTGTTTTAATAGTGTTTTCGTAAAAAATCACGATATTTCGCTGGAAAAACTACCTAGAACTTAAAAAAAATTTGTGCAAACTTTTACAATTTTTGACCCTTTTACTAAAATAAAGCCTCACCCTTCCTGCTATCCGTTTGTACAATCATTCCCTTGTTAATTATTTATGCATAATTCGATAAATATTTCAGAAAAACGTGCAAGCCTTAAAAGCGATAGGTTAATGAGCCAGGTTTTTTTTTAAATTTTTTAAGGAACAAACTTTTTGTCAGTTTGCTTTTTTCTCTCACTGAAAGCCCCATTATTTTTGCACTCTTTTTCTGCTTTATTTCGCCGTATTTCAGGTTTTCAATTACTTGCTGGTGTTTGCCAAATGCGTCAAATTGTATTTGTTGTATTTGCGAATCCCTACAGTTAGCGGGTCTAGTTTTTCGGTTCCGCGCCCCTGGTCATTTTACATCTTCTTTCTCGCCGCTCTGCTGCGCGAGTAACTCGACTTTTTGTAAATTATCCCACGAAATACGCGCCATTGTCTGTCCTTTATCACTTTTTCGAAAGAATTGAGCCCAGTATCTGATAAGTTATTTGCCTATCTGATTCTACGCAAGCCACTGCAAGTCATGATAATTACGAAACGATACTATAGTCGTATTATGGAATTTAAAATTCCGGCTTTGGGATTTGAGACTGAAGCTTTTATTCGGCCGTTTTCGGCTCTATTCCTTACTGGCAAAGTGTTCTTTTCGTTTTCCATATTTTCATTTCGAGTATTACATTGATACCATAGTTATAGTTGCTTTTGCAGGCCGGACTCGATGCGACAACTCGACGACACACCGCCCCGCTTCATCGTCTGCTTGTATTGCTGCGGTTAGTCGTTTTTCGAGTTACTTCTCCGCCCCTGTTTTTCAGATACGACATTCGGAGGAGAATGATGGGAAGATGTCGACTGGATGCAACGAAGCCCTGGCTGACGGGGATGATTGTGAAGCGACAATTGGAGCATCTTCAAATCGGAGCCACTACAATCAGGAGAGCATGCTGACCAATTTGAAGGTATTCGGGTCCTGATCCACAGGGTGTCCAAAAAAAACCCGCCATCGGCATTTCGACGTCTGCCATCCGATCGAGCCCAAATTTTTGCCAGCCATGGGGACCCATAAAAACTAACTGCAGTCAAATTTTCTAAACAAATATTGTAAAACAAAAAAGTGATATAGAAATGAAGGCTTATTTTGCCGATTTCACCAGGATTTTGATGGATTTGGACTTCGAGATAAAATGAAGCGAGCACTTTTTTCCACCCGGTGGAACTTTTTGAATGACGAAAATTACGACTAAATTGGGACTTTTCATAACTTTCTATTATCAAAATTGACAGAAACGACCCGAAAATGAACATTTTCGGGGAAAAGTACTCAAATTCGGCACGCTAATTGCGAAAACATAGGCAAAAACGAGTGCCAGCGTTTTCCCAAAAGCAGTTTTTGAGCGATAATAACTAATAATTAGGAAGATCGTTTGAGGATATATTTTTCTTCGTTCTATGGCGAAAATGTTGGCCGGGATTCCGGCATTTTTACCTGAAATCTCTGATCTTCTGCTAATCCTTTCGACTGAAATTGAATATATTCTGATTCTACAGAACCAGGCCAACTTTACAGCCGTATAGGATAATGGGGAGCCGAAATAAAAGGGGGACGGGGGGCTGCGAACCAATTTAGGCGCGGTCACTGCCCGTTGAACGCTGGTCGACAGGTCTTCCACGACCTTCATTGTAGTTTCGCGGTTAGTCGCTTTTCGGGCTACTTCTCCGCCAAATTTTTTTGAGATATGTGGATCGGATGAGGCTAATGCGAAGATCTCGACTGGATGGAAAGAAGCCCTGGCTGACGGGGATGGATGGAGGCCACCATGGTAGCTGGCAGATGGGCGAACCTCCCCAAATCGGCGCCACTACAATCAGAAGACGATACTGCCCGATTTGAAGATTTGCTGGTACTTTATCGTTTTTAGACGTATAGCTGGCTAGTAACTAGGTAAAGTTTTTGACTATATATCTTTTGCTTCGTTTTAAGGCGAAATTTTAGCCGGGTTTCCGAGTTTTTTTGCTTCAGATATCTTTATCTTCCCCTAATTATTTCGATAAAATTCAATGTATTCCCAGCCTCCAAAAAAGGCGAACAATTTGGGATTTAGGATAGATAGATACAGCCCTGTCGGATAATGGGGAGTGGAAATAAAAGGGGGGTGGGGGTGTTCCTAACCAATTTTAGGCACGGGCACTGGCGTTGAACGATTGCCGACATGCCTTCGACGACCTTCATTGCAGTTTCGCGGTTAGTCGTTGAGCACAGTTCTTCCCCGGCATGTTCTTTTAGATAGCCGAGCGGATGCTGAGGAGCCAACGATCGACTGGACTGAGCAATCGAGCAGCGACGGCCCTTATGACGACATTTATGCACTGAAATGCCCGCAGGTGGTGAAGACGACATCGAAGCAACGAGAAGATGATAGTGACCGCCTTTTCAGGTACTTTTCATTAGAATCTCCGAATTTTAGGTATGAATCTGGAGCTCGATGATGATGGTCGACATCCGGCTGGATTACAAGGAGAAACAAGTGAATGGGCGCGCGAAAGTGAAGAAATATGGCCGCAAAAGGAAGAGCAAGAAGAAGAAGGCGATTTTATAAAGGTATTTAGTTTTGCAATTATTTCTAGGCGAAAGCGAAAAAGGCGTCGCTCAGCTTCGAGTGCGAATGGCCAGACTCTGACGACCGTTATGGCAGCAGCACGGCATTTGTGAAGCCCACGTTATGAAGAAGAGAAGAAGCGCAGCTTGACTGGTTATCTATTATTAAAACTTTCTTCAGATAAAACTACACGAATGCCGAAACCCCCCGGCGAGACAGTTTCCCTGTCTTATATTAAAAAAAACAGGCGAGCTGACAGTTTTACGACTCGAATTTCCGCGTATCTTTAGTCCATCTTTGTAGTTTGTAGTCCAGTTAAACAAATTAAACCCTTAGAAATTCAAAATAGCCCGCGATTTTTCAAATTATGGGTTTTGAGCATTTTCATTTAGCTAAAGTTTTTATAAATCAGTTTTCTGCTTCGGTAAAACAAATGTAAAGGTGTAGTTTGTAGTCCAGCAAATAAACGTCCAGATTTTAGAGCCCTGAAAAAGGTGGAATTAAGCAAAGTGTTGATTTTCGAGGTTTCTACCGTAGATTTATTTGGTTTTTTGGGTTTTATTCGTGAAAACAGTTTTTTCCAATGGATAGTAATTTTACAAAAATAACAAAAGTGAAAACGGGGTTGAAGATCGCTTCGGGAGAGGCTTCCTAGAAGATATATTCATTTATGGGGGCACTTCCGGTAATTAACATTGATTTTGCATAATTTGCATCTCTGGATTAGAGATGTGCCCGCGAAAGCTGCTAAATTCATCATTCTACAAAACCCGAAGACGACCCCCGGCCTCGTCTTCACCAACATCATCCCTATAACCGACCTCTTCTTCCTCCTCCTGATCTTCATCGCGAAAATGGACCGTAAGTTTGCCTTTATGCAAATTACTTTTTGAAATTTAACTTAGCTTTTACCTAGCTTAGCCTTTGACTTTATCCTAATCACTTAGCCTAGCTTTTGGGAACACTTTTTGCTTTTTGGTTTTAGCACAGTTTTATAACCTTTATGCTTTGGTACTGATGCACTTCCGGGGGAGAGGCGGGATCGGATCCCAACCCGGGTTCGATCCCGCCTCGGGTCAAATTTTTTTGCTTTTTGCTTTTTGGCTTTGAAACGATGGAAATGCTAGGAGGATCTAACGGTAGTTACTTGGCTGTTCCCTGTTTATCAAAACGCTATTGTATCAGGAAAATGACCCGGGTTCGATCCCGTCCGAGGTCATCCTTTTTTTCTTTTTTCTTTTTGACTTGAGAAAGGATGGGAAATACTAGGAGGATCTAGCGGTAGTTTAACTTGACTGTTCCCTGGCTAATTAGCACGATATCTTATCAAGGAAATGACCCGGTTCGATCCCCCCGAGGTCACCTTTTTTCTTTTTGCTTTTTGACTTGAGAAATGATGAGAAATACTAGGAGGATCTAGCGGTATTTAACTGACTGTCCCTGGCTAATTAGCACGATATCTTATCAAGGAAATGACCCGGGTTCGATCCCGTCCGAGGTCATTCTTTTTTTCTTTTTTCTTTTTGACTTGAGAAGGGATGGGAAATACTAGGAGGATCTAGCGGTAGTTACTTGACTGTCCCTGGCTAATTAGCACGATTCTTTCAAGGAAATGACGGGTGATCCCGCCCGAGGACCTTTGCTTTTTGCTTTTTTGACTTGAGAATGATGAGATACTAGGAGGATCTAGCGGTAGTTTACTTGACTGCCCTGGCTAATTAGCACGATTCTTTCAAGGAAATGACCCGGGTCGATCCGTCCGAGGCATCTTTTTCTTCTTTTGACTTGAGAAAGGATGGGAAATACTAGGAGGATCTAGCGGTAGTTTAACTTGACTGTTCCCTGGCTAATTAGCACGATATCTTATCAAGGAAATGACCCGGGTTCGATCCCGCCCGAGGTCACTCTTTTTTGCTTTTTGCTTTTTGACTTGAGAAATGATGGGAAATACTAGGAGGATCTAGCGGTAGTTTAACTTGACTGTTCCCTGGCTAATTAGCACGATATCTTATCAAGGAAATGACCCGGGTTCGATCCCGCCCGAGGTCATTCTTTTTTGCTTTTTGCTTTTTTGAGCGGAAACTATCGGGAATGCTGGGAGTATACGCCCTAAAATTTAGCCACTTCAAATTAAATTAATTAAATAATTACGCTTATTCCCACGAATGTGGCCTCACGATGTTCCATGTTTGCAGCGGCTGATTACGTGAGGCTCAGGGACACCCTCGAGACCGTGAATCAGATCTTTATCCAGGAGTGGGTTTTGAGTTATTCTTATAACTGCAATTGATGTCTTTTTCCTTGCGGTCCATTTCAAATATTTAATTTAGCGGATGTGCGCTGCGCGTCATCGCGTACCCAAGCGGCAAGGTGGAATTGCTCGGAATCGTCACTGAGATCGCCTCGGTGGGTGCTAATTTCATTTACATTTCAATAGAAATGTACCTGAAATTAATTTTCTAGAAATTTTAGAGGAAAATCTTTTTACTACAAATATATCGATTTTTGCGATCGGAAATTCGAATGGTTATCCTAAGAATTTTTCAATATAAAGAGCGAAAATCTTTCTCAACTTTTTTTTGCACTATTCCTGATCGTGAAAAAGGTGACAAAATTTTATTCAAAACCCGCAAAGAATAGACTTTTTCGGTAAAATTTTTCTGGGTGTTTTTGATGGTTTTTCGATTTGAGAGATAGCTAAACTTTACTAAAAATACCACTAAATAAAGAAGGTGAGAACTAAACATATGCTTTATATTATTTGTTAACTACAGAAATTTTAATTACTCTACAAATACATTTGATATTATCAAAAGACACGCCCCTGCTACAAGTCCAGTACCAGTTAGAAATTCTGATTTTCGGGTTCTTTTGCATTATCGGGGGGACCAACTTTTTTCCTTAGGGTCTATTTTTTTCAAATAAAAATGGTGGAAATGTTGTTAAATGGTTTTTTTGCTAGCCCTAGACGTGAAAACTTTACAAATTTGTATTTAAAATATAGAAAATATCGATTTTCGACCAAAAAAGGGCGGATTTTTTTGTTAACCAAAATTTCACCATTTCATAAAGTTTTTAGATATATTTTGTTTATTCGATAAAAAATTTCCATTACATTATCTCGGGCTGAAATCAATTTTCTCCGTATATTTTTCGACCTGTTCGATTTATATTTACGAAAAAATCTTCAAGAACTGTTTGAAAACGTCGAAAATTTGGGGATTTTAGGTCGAAGAAAAACGAATTTTTCGAGCTAAATTAAATTTTCTAATTAAAATTTGTGGTTTTTATGCTAAGGAATTTGTACTATAGTCATTTTCCAGGGCTTCTACGACAAGAAGAGGCCCGCCGAGCCGCCGGTGACCCAGAGCGACAAGCAGCTGCCCGGCATGAAGAGGACCTCGACCATCGGACGCGCAGGGCCCTCGACGTCCCAGGCGACGCCCCACGCGACCCACCCTCGTCCTCCCCACATTCACCCGGACGGCAACAAGGACAAGGCGCGCAGCCCGCGCACCAAACGGATCTGCCGCCAGTAAAGTGATGATTAGTCGCGGGGGGGGGGGGGGGGGGCGTTTTTTCGGTTTTCCGCTTTTTTCTTGGGGGGCCGGTCCTCCATTTTGATTAATTACTTTTCCTTCAAAAAAAAAATTGTTCTCATTTCAAAATTTTTTCTACAAAAAAACTGTAAAGAAAATTACAAAATTATCTCTGGCTGCTCACCCCGCAAATAGTTTTCGCCCTTTTACGAGAATTGTGTGTTATAAGGCCGAGTTCATCCCACACTCGCGCAACAGCTTTTCCCCCGCGCATCATTTGTACAATTGCGGTTGAATCTGGTGGTCACATGAATAAATTTTATATTCCCTTGTTGTGATTCGCATGGCAAGATATCAGTGGAAAACAGACACAAACACAGAAATGCACACTAGCCGAAGATATAGAAAGATTTTAAAGGAACAGAGGAGGCACGACATTCGGCTTGGCTTGGGCTGCTTGGCTTTCTTGAGATTCGGCTTGGTTTGATTGAGGCGAGAGGGAGAGAGAGGGGGACAGGAAGCGAGCGAGAGAGAGTGCGAGTGAGCGAGAGAGAGCGACAGAAAGCGAGAGAGAGCGACAGAAAGCCTGAGAGAACGGCGGAAAGCGAGAGAGCGATAGAAAGCGAGAGAGAGCGAGAGAGAGAGAGCGGCGGAAAGCAAGAGAGAGCGACAGCAAGCTAGAGAGAGAGCGAGCGAGCGAGAGAGAGAGAACGGCAGAAAGCGAGAGAGAGGGAGAGAGAGAGAGAGCGGCGGAAAGCGAGAGAGCGGTAAAGTTCTCGCCTCTCGCCCGCACTATCCGGGTTCGACTCCCCGCCAGTGTGAAATTTTTTGCTTTTGCGGGGGAGTAAGGGATTTGGATTTTCAAGGGCTTAGGGCAGAACTTCCAGGCCAAAGCCCAATATTTTTGGAAGAAGGAGCCATTGGAGTTTCGCAATGATTAGGGGGCGGGACGCTGTGTTGGTTGGTTGTCGAGACTCCCTCCTGAATTTGGGGCTCGTTTTGTGGGGGTCGTTAAAGAGAGAGAGAGAAGAGAGAGAGAGAGAGAGAGAGAGAGAGAGACAGAAGAGAGAGTGGGAGAGAGGAAGAGTGAGTGAGAGAGAGACAGAGGGAGAGCGAGAGAGTGAGTGAGAGAGGAAGAGAGAATGAGAGAGTGAGAGAGATAGAGAGATAGAGCGACAGAGAGCAAGAGAGAGAGAGAGGGGGGGGAGAGAGAGAGATGGGGACACCAAAAAAGACGCCGAAAACGACCGGAGGACCCAACCAACTCCCGAAATTGCCCCCTGGCTATGGGGTTGGCTTCTCTTTTTCTGCTCGGGCGAGCATCGCCAAATTTTGTTGGGGCAGCTTTTCGTGTCAGTCGGGAGGGGGTAGTGCTGTTCCAACGGCAAAGAAACGTATACCACTCCCGAATTTGCTACATTTTTCATTTCGCTCATTTTAATAATTTTTACGACTCAAATTTTATCATATCTTTTATTCAGCGTCTTAGTTTATAGGCCGATTAAGCTAAATAACTAGCGCAAAACATTTCCTAAAAATTCTAAATTCATACTTCCAAGTTTAACTGATTTTCTAAAACAAGCGAAAGTTGTAGTTTGTAGTACAATTAGACAAATTCGAGCCTAGAAACATGAAATAAAACGTGAATTTAAAAGCTTTATAGATTTTTTTTAGTTTTTACCTTAATCAAATTTTTAGATACGCAAAATTTCGTTTTTTAGTTTTTCTTGTAAAAAGTAGCATAATTATAAAAGTAGCCAATTTATAAACCTAAATTATTTATAGGGGGTTAAATCGAATGTTAAAATTTACTGCAATTCCCCACCCTTGCTACCGTAAGCGTGCGCAATTAAATGCCGGCAATTTGTCTCAATTCGGGGGCATAGGCCGGGCCCTAAAGGGACTCATTCTCCCTTCCCTGGGACGCAATTTGTGTTCGCTTGTATGAATAGGAGGGAGGGGGGTTGTGTTATATCTTTCTCTCCCTCTCTCCCTAGAGGGACATTCCGGGGCGATACGCCCCTTGTAGAGGACAAAGCTTTACCCCTTCCCTTCCTATTCGTCACCCCCAATTCTCAAACATACATTTCGATTTTGTACATTGGCTATTGGTAGAGCGGTTTCTTCTTTAAAGGGGTTAGGAGGTCAAAATTGGCCTGAATTACATGTCGTAATGCCTAACCCGGACTCTAATATATCGATTTTACGCGATTTCGCTGCGATTTTTTAAACCATTTTACTAATTGGCCCGAATACATGTCGTAATACCTTCGGCGGGTTCCAGTTTAGCGATTTTCACGATTTCCGCCCAAATTTTGTAAATCTTTTGCGCGCGGCCGCAGTCTTTTATATTTTGAAACCATTTTTTTAAGTTTTAGGAAGCGCTTGTTCCCTTAAAATTCGCCAGATTCCGCCGATTCCGCCCCACTACTCTAAACACTTGAACGGACAAGTATCGTCTCGTACTGCCGCCCCTATATTGGCTCCTTCTCGCCTTCACTCGGCGTTTTTCCGGCTCTTCCTTTGTCCCCAATGCCATTTTTCCTCTTTCCATGCCCTGAGGCTATAGAAGATTGATGTTCGGGGTTAAAAAGCGCTTTTTTTTGGTTTGAGAAATCGCCCCAAAAGTTTGCAAAGCTAGAATTGCAACTTTTTGGCTTCTACGTTGGGCTTTTCTATAGCTTTTATGCTTGCTTTACGTTGCTTTCTGACATCCGAAGCTTTCCTAAAACGCAGAAAATCCTCTTAAAATCAAGCCACGCTATAGCTGAGTGGTAAATTTCTAGCCTTTCAGGTTAACTATCCGAGTTCGAATCCCGGCCCAGCCAAATTTTTTTTTTGAAAATTAGCTAAACTAACAGGTTTTTAACCCTCTAAACTATAAGAAACCTGACCAAAAACCACTTTACGAAAATTCCAACCCTCCTAATATTGCATTGAAGGGGGGTTTTTGGAGCGAATTCGGGCCCCCGATTCCATTCGGGACCCTAGAAAAAAGAGGTTGGTGGGGACATGATGTTTTTGACGGATTCATGAGGGTTTCCACTTGACACCTTTAGACAGCAAAAGGAAAAGAAGGAAAAAGACCCGTTGAAAATGCATCAAACGGACGGGTCGGCCCCCGAAAAAGGCCGTTACAGCCAATGTTCTCCCCGAATTTTGGGCTGTAGCTGCGGGAAAATTGGTTCTAAAAATAGCTTAGGTATTTTAGACAAATTTCTAGATAATACTCTGTAGAAATTACATAAAAATTCCATTTTAATTTTGAAAATAGCGAAAAACGGCTTTATAATGACAATTTTTCGCTGTAACTTTTTTAGTTTTGAATATTTTTATGTGAAATTTTGTAGGCGTATAGGTTTTGCTTTTCTTGAGTTATTCTTAAAAATTTTAGACCATTCCAACTTGATCTTGAAAAGTTAATGCAATTAGAAGTCCGCAACTTCACGTTCGAAAAGCCGTTTTTTGGCTTTAACTTCTCTAGTTTTAAAGATTTTATCCTCAAATTTGGTAGGCTGATAGTTCATTGGTTCTTACAGCTTTTCTAGAAACTTTAGACAAATTGAACTTAACCATCAAATGTTCGAGCAATTATAAGCCCTTAGGCACCCAAAGTTTTTGCGAGTCTTTCTAAAACGCGCCCATTACCGTAGTACCACCCAAAAATGGATACACATCCTTTGTCGGCCCTCTGGCCCACAATTGTTATTAATCCGGTGCGCAAATTTATTCGGTGCCTCAAAAGGGGGCGTGGCCAGAGGCGTGTTGCGGATTATCCCCCATCCACGCACACTCAAACGTTCCCGCTTTCAGGGGAACGCTTTGTAGGGTCAGATTTTTATTTTTATGCTGTAAACTGGCTAAAAATACGCGTTAAAAATACCTTCGAAGTTTTAGAAATTCAATTAACCTAAATTTTCCTATTTTCCGCTACACTACGCAACTTCCGGTCGGGTGGCCAGAGGTGCGCTTCGGAAAAAGTGTTTACCTCGCCGGGCCCTTCGGCGGGCAGAGCCCCCCACCTCTTCTATTGGCCTTTGAAAACAATCCCCCTTCTCTCGGCGTCTCTCTCTCTCTCTCTCTCTCTCTCTCTCTCTCGCTCTATTTTCTGAATGGGTACCGAATTCCGGATCGATACTCCTTCTCCCCCTCCAAACAATCAAATACCCCCGCAATGGCCAATCACTTTTTGACGAGGTGGCGCTGGGCGCGGGTTTTTTGCGTTTAGACGGCTGGTTTTGAGGTTTTGTTTTATTTGTTGTTTTTATTCCTATCGGTTTAAAAACTATAAGTTAATGTAAAATTGTTGAATCTGAATTCTTATATGTTCAATTTTTTAGAAACATCTTAAAAGGTGCAAAAATGCGATTTTCATCTAGTTTATTCAATAAAAACTAGCTAAATAGCATTTAAAATATTTCTCAAATAATTTAGCTTTTATATTCTTCTGGAAACATCAATATTTTCATAAAATTTACTCAGATATTCGTGTTTTTTCACTTTTCAGTTGATTTCCCTGTTTTTCCACCCCGCTACCCCATCCATCACGCTCCAAATGACAATCGTGTCAACATAAATTAAGATGTCGATGGGGCGGGCCTTTTTCTCTCTTTTTCGCTCTCTTTTTCCCCCGAAAAGATTATGATCTTTGAGGGGATGGAGGACATGAGGGAGGCCAATTCACAACCCAAAAAAAGAATAGAGGAGAAAGGGGGGATTGGGTTGGGTTGGGTGTTGTTGTGAGGAATGGAGAGGAATAGAGGCGAATAGAGGGGGGGAGAATGCTTGAAAAACGGCGTTGGCTCGGTGGAGCTCGGCTCGGCGGGGCCCATTATCCATTGCGCCCCTTCTGCTTTTCGCCAGATGCGAGGAGGGTGGGCCTTTTCGGAGTGCCGATCCCAGGTTTTGGGGTCTTTGTCTTGAAATCCGCTATTTTTAGCTGAAAGTCTTGACTTAGCCGGAACTCTCGGTTTAGCTCAGCCGGTTAGTCGCTAGAT